CTTGTGGGTGAAGAGTGTTTATGAGCGTGGATCACAATTCTTCTTTACAGTAAAAGTAAAGTTGGGAACCATGTCACCTGAGCTAGTTGAACAGAAGATGAGTCCATGGCATGGGCGACACATTTTGTTTATCGATACTTTGCATGACACGACCGGAGTAGCCAAGTCTCTCGAAGAATTGAAATTACGACCAAAGTTGGCTAGTTCCGTTGAGGAAGCAGCTATTATAGCAAGTTCCCGCAATAGTGATTCACCACTGTTTGATACAGTTATCGTGGATGATTTGGCTATTGTTGAGCCTCTTCGTGAGATTTCACATCTTCGATACATTCCTGTCGTATTATTGGCACCTCAGATACCCAATCTCAACATGAAAAACTGCATAGATCTTGGAATAACATCATACAGCAATACACCCGCAACTTTGCCTGATTTAATGAATGCTCTTCTCCCTGCACTTGAATCACATGCAACAGTGCCCAGCGACTTTACGAGACATCAACCTATAGATATTCTATTGGCTGAAGATAACATTGTTAATCAAAAACTGGCTGTTAAAATATTAGAAAAGTTTGGCCATCGGGTAGAGATCGTACCAAACGGTAAATTAGCCGTGGAAGCATTCAAATCCAAACGATATGACTTGGTAAGTAAAGGATGAATGGGAGAGAGTGGTTGTGAATTAATCAGTCAGTTTTCGTATACCCGCATATCTAACGTATCACCTTGCGATCGATTAGATTCTTATGGATGTTCAAATGCCAATAATGGGAGGATTTGAAGCAACACAAAACATCCGAGAATGGGAAAAAGGACATGGCAGACGCATTCCTATAATTGCCTTGACGGCACACGCAATTATATGGGATAGAGATAAATGTCTATTGGCTGGCGTGGACGAATATGTGACGAAACCATTAAGTATGTATCTGTTTGATACTGTATTATATAACGCGAGCAAGCTTCACATTTATCGGAAACTAACCACTGTAATCTAATTTGATTTTAGGAATGAACGATCTTATAGCCACGATAAATAAATTTCCTGTAAGAAATCCAATAGTAGAGGATTTGGCAATATCAGATGAGCGAAACGCCTGCCAAGTGTAATAAATGTAGATTATAAGTAGTTAGTTTATAACATGTAAATGGACTGTCATTGGAAAGAATTCTGTTGTATTTTGAGGGAAGGTTGTTTTTAGACAATTTTATATTTATTTTGCATTAAGTATAATAATTAATGCGACGTGATTTGGAGTTATTTGATTTAACATTCGTAATATTTGACAATCGTTTTACTTTTTCTCTTGTAACATTCATTAAATAAAATAGTTCTAAATAACGTTACGCTAAAACAGTGTATACCACTATTCTATGCTTTCATTGCCCATGGCCGATTCATATCATTATACATACCGGGATCATCCATGTGCCCAAATATCCAGTTCAAAGCCGTTTCGGCATCTCTGTTGTCGGTAGCAATCAATGCCTTCTTGCAGCGTATTTCTGGGAATCCCATTAACAACAATTCATTCAACACTGCTCCATTTACTTGTGGCTCGGATGCTTGTTCTTCCGGTAGAAGCTTTTCCCCTTCCTGCAAACCACGCCCAATGTACTTGTCAAAGTTAATAGGACCGCTTGGAGGAATCACAGGGACGCCTGTGCAAAGATTGATAAGTGATACGTTAAATGACAAATCGAGCTATGACTGATGCTCTTGTTATTTGTGTGGTAAAGAATTACGAGGAGCGGGGAAGACGGGGAAGATTAAAAATCGGAATAATCCTAGTTTTTGGGGAATAAACACTGAGTATAGAATACTCTGTTTAGGGTGTGTGGGGAGAAAGTATTATCCAAGCATGAGTAAAGGGAAGCAGAAGACTTTTAATAAGTATGTGAAGAGGGGTTATGTTTAATAATTCAATTATAGTGTCGTGCGTGTCCTGACATAAAAAATATAGTATTATGGTAGGTCGTAATATGAATGTTTACTTTCGAGAAGAAACATATAGCAAGATAAAAAACTTGGTTTCAAAAAGGGAAGTTAGTCGTTTTATTAATAAAGGACAAGTCTGTATGTCGCGCAGTGATTTGGAATAAACAGCTGACAAGGCTTAAACCCTAAATACCAATTGTTGCTAACATATTTAGTCACTCAAAGCGATTTTTTCAACACTGATATATCGGGCGATGTTTGTATTTGCACCCCGCACTAATAAAAAGACTATCGCTAACGTATTCAGTAATTACTTACCAAGCCTTATCAATTTTAACTGAACTGGAAATGACGCTACTATGATATATAATTAAAGTAACGAATGAATATGTGTGCGTGGTATTTGCGGGGAAAGCGGAATTACATCCCACGGTTTTATAAATATGCTATCTGCACGATTTCAAACTTGTTACTACATTGCTCAGCTTTACGTACTTTATTATTATCAGTGGTCTTTCAACGAGTTTTCGTCGCACGCACAGAATTTGATGCCGTCGTCGATCAATATATCCAAAAACATCACGAGCCAAAAAGAGCTAAGCTTTTCATCACTCAGACATGTACGACGAAGCCATTCAAATACTCCGTAGTCCTATCGGACAAAAAGACCAGACATTAGGTAAATTACTGCGAGGAAATTTATTTCATAGGCTTGTTGCAAGAGACGTTTAACGGTATAATTAATTCAATAAATTAGCTCAAAAATAACTTTCAAATTCAAGAGACGGCTAATAGAAGCAATGAATACACTCTTTTGAAAAAGCAAAAGAGAGGCGATTCAGGCCTGCTTGTGGTAAAGAAAAGGTGCTCACAAAAATTCATAACGATCTTGCACATCTGGGATGCGTGCGTTTTGGGTTGGGTTGAGGCTTCTAACGGCTACGGGTATTCCTCAGGTGATTACTGAACTTTACATCAATCTCTGTTCAACTCATAAACGAAAAATTAAGCAATCGCCTTCTAGAGGATTTCCTTAACAGGAACCGATTTTAACAATTAAACAAATTTTTCTTTTATTATAATTTCCAGCTAACTTTACATAAAAAGTAACTAAGAATTGTGTTATGCTACTTTGTTTTATCAAATTTACTCTTTACGCACGCGAATGAACTTCTCCAAACTTTTAAATAGCTGCTGGCACCCTCTTGTTGAATTAGGAAATGTCTTTAAACTTTTTAATGCACATTAGCACTCACTATTGGGTTTTTATTACTAGCAAAGAATCTTTTCTTTGCACAGCTAGATCTATAACAATGATCAATTGAAATCCAATCTATTGTAAACAGGATCAAACTCAAACACTGAAAAGAAAAATAGCAATGCTTTACAAAGAATTCTTTCTTCCCACGTAAAACCGTATCTATAACAATAATGTTGTGCGCGCGAATTGTGATGTTTGAAATTTGATATTGCATTATTCACTAAGTCCTATGTGTATGCTTGGTGTTAGCGGTTTTCTTCGCGAGGCGGCTGCGCTTCCTCACCGTGCCCTGTAGTGTCAATGCTTAGTGATGAGGCCCCGACTTAGCCAACTTTTTTTTATATATCTATTTTTGCCTTCCTTCAGACGCCTTGACTTGTACCTTTCCCCGTTTTTGATCGCTTCCAATCCATGTGTAACATCAACATTTCGCAGAAATCTTGAAAATCGGGAACAAAAAGATAAGCGTCAAAATCTCACTCATCCTCACTAAAACTTTTATACGGACATAAATTCTGTTGGAAAGGATCATCTTCGCATATCGTTCCCATTCATCTTGATTGTAGTTGCTTGAATCATTGCATTCCCAAGGGAATTTAGTGACTGAAAAAGAAACCAAATCTTTGGAATCAGAAACAATATCACGAATTAAATAAATCTATAAAAGAAGAATTCAGAAAACGTTTGTCCATTAGTGTTAAGATATGTGTCTACTTTCCACTCTATAAACATATCCTGATCTCTAGCTTTTACAATGTAATAGACCCGTCACCGAATAAAACTTTTTGCAGCAGGTAGTGGCAAAGAGAATGGCGAAACACAAATTATTTGTAATAATACCAATAGGCATGGGGTCTTTCATAGCGAACGATGTCGGCATATGATACAGTGATAATATCACAGATGTAAAACTAATTTGGATTTGCAAATATTATTTTGTGCCATTGTAAATCATAGCATCATCATCCAATATACTTGGTCCGCTCAAACTAAAAGACTTAAAAGCTAAACTTAAATAGAAAAGAGATCATCTAACTCTTTCCAAGTCGACTGATATCGACATGTTAGATTATCATTTTATTCTCGACTAAATGATTAGCCGAATTTGAGCTTGGATATAGAAATGCCAATTATGTATCCAAGATAAATTATCTTTTTTATAATGCTATGCTAATTCATTTTTGTAAAATTGAGATTCTGGGCCCTGCTCATTCTGCCTCAGATTTAAACACGTATAGTACAAGCCGAGAATACATGTTTTATTTCATTATCATATGCTAAAAATTCGGCAAAAGAAAAAGTCCAGAGTTTTTGTCTCTATGAATAGTACCCTTTATTACATAATTTGGTGACAATGCAAATGGAATGTCACTTTTGAATGTGTTGGATCAATATGCGAGGGAATGCGTTCGAATATTTCCCTGAGACCTGGCTTTTCCTTTGACTACCTCTACTCTTGCTAAACATATAAACGACAATTAGGAACCTTAAATTGGGTTTTGGATATTCACGATACTTGATTGGTCCTGTATAAATAATTACTGTATTTAATGAGTTTGTACGTCTATTTCTTTCGATTTAAAAGCCTACAAGTCGGGAAATTTTTCTAAACTAAACGCGTTTATAAAACTAAGTAATAATCCTAATGTCAAAGGTTCCAAAACGAAATATATATTTTTTGTCGGCATCTCAAATGACAACCCGAATGTAAAATTGTCGTCTCGTGAACGAGATGCCCATCGGCCAATCTTCCGGCTAGCCAGCAAAATAATTGCATGACGACGCAAATGTGGGCTTTGCCTGCCCGTTTCCCAGCTAAAAGTTTTTTAGCCAAGTTGTCACTTTTGATGAAGACGCAAATATGAAGGCGTCATTATTCATTTCCGGCCGAAATAATTATATCAATTGGAAAAAATTATGTAAACGCTATGAATGCGTAAAATTTTCTTTCGCAATACCTCATGCTTCAATATCAACCCGACTTTTGTTCTAAACAATTTCTTGAATGACACAACTTGTCGTACTTGAATGATGACGAAATTGCAGACTCACCAACACTAGGGAAACGTAATTTTGCTGTCAATTAAAGGCATAACCTACTTGGGTGGAATAAATGACAATACAAACACAAACTTGGCGTCAACAATAACGACGTAAACGTGATATTGTCGTCACTCGCTTTGACAACCAATTAGCGTTAGAGACCAAATGAAACATAAATCCAACTGAGTGAAAATAACGTATATTATGTTATTATATTATATCCATTTCTCGCTTTGTATGCATATTATTCTTCACAGATACATATATTTACAATAAATTTTACTCCATTCAATTTACATCAAACAAGCTAGATATTTTTACTTGATGAACAAACAATAATATAATGACTATCCTTTAGAGTGACTGATTTCGACCATGTAACTGTAGCTGCACCATAATGATTCCCAACATAAATTCATAAATTAAATAGTACAGCAAACTTTAAATAACTGTTTACCACGGTATTAAAGAAATGCTTGACAAACAGATTAAAACAGAATAAAAATTATAACTTACAAACTTGGAATTATTTATTCCAGAATACTTAGACTCCGAGGAAATTACCAAAAAAATCAAAAAAGTAAATCCGAAGAATATATTAATTAATTAATTCAAATTACTATTTCAAAGACAACTATATTATTAATCAGCTCCTTTGACACGTTTAATAAATTATCACATCTAATATTAAGCCAACATTTTTGTTAAAACTTTTGTTGGTTCGAGGAAAAACTAACGTTTTTTATTGTATACCAAAAACTAATGCTTGTTGTTTGATTCACATTGTATAGAACATAGTGATAGTGATATTAATAAATTGTTAATTGTCCTTTTCTACTACGTATATAATAATAAAGATAAAATAGTTGTAATCTTTCAATGTTTGCATTTATTATTTCACTTGTATCCACATATACTGTATTAGTATACACACCTCATTCTGATACTAGCATTTCAGTTACCCCAGCAAGTCCACGAGTTAAACGACAAATTAAATTATCAATCTTTTTCTCACAAAGTTAATCACTTATTATTATTCGCGTTATCAAATTGTATCTTTCATTTATGTTTTGTTGCGCAGATAATTAATTTTGGACAGTGGATTATTGTAAAGGCCTTCGAAATAGTGTTAGTAATCTCAAATCAGTAAACGGTTTATTGTTTATTGAGCAAGATAATAAACATATTTCTGTGACAATATCTGTGTAAAAATATACTGTATTTAGTATAATTGCTAAGTAATGATATAAGAGCATAAATATATTATGCCATAACATTAATAATCGTATCATATCACAAATTGTTACAGTTATAAACCTAATTTACAAGTTTATCATGAATTTTCAATATTTAGTAATATTAGAAAACAAAGTTTTCTTGGTAAGCTCCCATACTTTTAACAGGTAATCTAAATGTTGGTTTGGTGTATGGAGTACACATTTTTGCTGTAGAATAATGGAAGCTGGTCTTAAGTAATTCAAACACATAGACAATACTGTGTCATAATAAGATATAAATCTTTCACCTTCAAAGTCTACCCATACAATTTTTTTATCTTTCAACAACAGCACTTTTATTATTATGCATACAATAATTACAGTAATAACTTTATTGCTTACTACGTACAATCTAAAAAATGTGGTAGTTATAAGATTTAAAATATAGCCAACATTAATTATAAGATTATACTGGTCATATTTTATCAATTGGAAAAAAAAATGACTAACAAACAGTTTTAACACCCATTTGTTAACAAAAGCAATTAAGCAAGATATATGACGCTTTAGCAGTAATTTATGTCCGTGAAAGCAAAGCTAATGTAATTTTAAAAAGCCTAGATATTATATTAAAAAAGGCGTTAGCCTTTTTATTTAAAATAGTCAAGATTAAGATTAAATTGGGCACCATAAAGTATTGAGTGTTTCCATTTGATATATTGACGTGGCCTCATAGTGGAGTCGTGCTCAGGGCTAAATTGAGAACAACTGCGTTTCCAGGCTACTGATAAAGTATTTGTAGTAAATGCTAATACTATTTATAGAAGCTACTACAGAAACATAAAATATATTTCAAGTCTGGAATAAAGGAGAACCAAACTTGAGTTATATTGTCAAAGAAAAACTGGGGGCTAATTTTTACACTACTAGACAAAGACGATAATAATAACGCATGGTCATTGGTCACAACGATAATTTTCTCCATGTTGTATTTCTCTCTCTCTCGACATAAACTAGTCTGTCAAGGAGTATGAATAAACTTTCCATCTTAATTTGATAACGATATGATTTGAGGCTCAAATCAAGAAAAATTGATGTATAATGCAAGGCAGTTTTGCTCGAAAGCATTTTACACCTTATAAAGTTCACGCACACGTCATTACGAGCATCACAAAGTTTTGTGCATTACTATAATACGTGCAACAATCAAAGATTGCCAGTGTATCAGGCAGGTTTGGTAGCAAATAAGAATTAAAGTCACTTGAAATGTCACGCAGTTTTATTTATAATGTCATCTTGCTATATATCCATATTATAGTTGTGTACATTGAGTAGGAGTTATTTGTTTAAGGTTATATTTATATTTATACGAATACGTACTATAATTCCTAACTTTCCTGCTTTGAGCAAACATATTAATATTTGCGACTTGCCTGAAAAATACTACGAATAATATAACAAAACAGTTTAAATAGCGTTGTGTTAATCGTGTATATCGCGAGTGTGTTAATGTATGACACTGTTAATTCCAGTCAGCGTACCGCAGATTTTCTTTCGCACGATTGTTTATTTCCAGAAACAGCAATCAGCATAATTTCGGAGTGGTAAGTAATACAAGCCTAGCATACTAATATGGTATCAGGAATACACAGTGCGTTTGAAAAAAAATAATGTTTAGTATTGTACATTGTGGCTATGCTAACAGTGACTTGACACAACTTTCCAAAATAATTACAGGGCGTAAAAATGGTCAAAAAAAAAAAAAAAAAAAAAAAAAAAAAAAAACCAAAAAAACTTGCTCTCAATATTATCCTGTGACTACAACAATAATCACTCTTTGTCCATCTGTTTATGGTTTGTGTGTGTAACACTCAGCCCCCAAGCGAAGCTTGTTCCCAGGACTGCATTCTCGATAATTTGGGGAGACGAGTCCTGATTATTCACCAAACTCTAGAATGTCGCTCAAACACATTCCACCCTCAATTGTCTGCTGACTTTTTTACACAATACAAACTCTTTTCTTTGTACTTGAAAATTTGGACAAAGACCAGTTGTTTACTTTTCTTGGGAACGTCATATAAATGGCGCCATTGTGTTTATTGTTTATGTTCCCAACGCCCCCAGCTCATCAAGCATATTTCGGCGAAAGGCCGATTTCTGGCTCGACGTCGCTTTGGAATGCTCTTATCGCAAAATCTATTCGATGTTTGACCGCGGAATACTAACATAACAATGTCTAATCAAAGCGAAAATGTAACAACACGTGCAAAACCCTATGTAGATCGCACCTTTCCTAGAACAGGGCCCACATCTGTATATTGCGCACATTCCCACTAGACCGTTAAAAAGGAAACGGCTGCATTCGCCACTAACCATATACAGTATTATTAAGCAAAATGTAAGGGACATGTGATCAACTTTAAGAGGGTTTTCAGTCAGCAATTCGTGGCGTGGGAAGTTACAATACCCAGTTTGTGTACCGAATGATAAGAGCGTTGTGGTGGACATTTAGATTAGTATCAGTGCTATTAATCCTTATCTATTAGCGTTAGTGTCACTATTACACCATTACAATATACAAGTCTTTCTTCTTTGGAATTTCTTGGCGCAAAGGTCATGCGCAACGGCTGTCCCCGAATTGTTTCCTCTCAATAAAGTCCCCGGATCTGTGTAGTATCGTGGGACACAACCTACGTGGGAATTTTTAGCCATCGGAGCATTGAACCCACCCTCCGAATGTCCGAATTTGACGCGCGCACAAAGCTCTGTTCGCTGGCCTCAATTTTGACAGTAGGCCTTTTGTAATTCTAATATCGGCCTTTCTTTTTTTCTTTCTCTTTCTAAGAAAAAAATAAACAAATAAAATTGTCTGAACGGAAAAGAAATGTCTTCAGATGAAGAATCAGTAGACACAGAAACATCGTTCGAAGAAGTGTCCAGTGTTGGTAGTACAGGGTCCAGCACGAGTACACATGAAGTGTTCGCTGATGATATTATTACTACAAAGCCTGGTAAGGGGAAAGCCAGACAGATTGAGTACAGCAGTGAGGATGACTCTGATGAAGGTCAACCGACTTTTGCGGACATATCACAAAGAATTGGTGCAGAAAATGTTCAAATAGATTCAGACAGTCAGGAGATGACAGATGATGAAGATTCTCAATATGTAAATGCTCGAGAAGATAGTCTTAGTGATGAAGATGATGGTCCTATGCCTAATAAGAATTATCTCTGTGTACGAGTGTCTGACTCGTCTGGGCTTGACGAACTGACTGACAGTGCAGACGAAGGTGATTCTAATGCAAATAGGGTTCAAGAGGATAGTTCTAACGAAGAAGATATTCCTGCACGGCAAAACGACTATGTCTCACCCGAGTCTGACTCACCGGTACCGCTGGAATCATCAGCGGATGAAGAAGAAGATTCTCCACATGTAAATACAAACGGGACTCAGGAGAATAGTTTCAGCGAAGACGAAATTCATACGCAGCAAAACAACTACGTCTTTCCACACGCGTCTGACTTGTCCGAACCGCAGGAATCAACGGACGATCGTGATGAACATTTTCAACATGTAAATACCCGTACGACCCATGAGGATAGTTTTAGCGACGAAGATATGCCTATGGACGATGAAGATGGTCCACGTGAAAATTTAGGTAAGGCGCTAAAAACCCAGTTTTGTTGCCGATTTTAATATATTACACGCGTCTAACTTGTTCGTATCGTAGGCGAACAACATTCCCCACACGCAAATCTAGGTAATGAATGTAAAAATTAGTAATAAAATAGAATTAAGTCTTTCTGACGTGTCTATTCTGGCAGATGACCGGGAACAAATCGATGATGAAGAAGTCGATGACGAAGAAGTCGATGATGAAGAAGTCGAAGAAGATGAAGTCAAAGAAGTCGAAGTTGAAGAAAATGAAGACGAAGAAGATGAAGTTGAAGAACATGAAGTTGATGATGAAGACGAAGAAGTCGAAGTTGAAGAAAATGAAGACGAAGAAGATGAAGTTGAAGAAGAAGTCGAAGAACATGAAGTTGATGATGAAGACGAAGAAGCTTCTGCACATGCCGGTAAGATATGCACTGAGTAACGTTTCGGAGAATCTCTTCATTTACGGATGTTTGAACTTAACAAACAGCAGATAGTTCTCTGCATGCAAAAACAAACGGCGATGGAGATATTAATAAACCCAAAAAGGATCTTCACCTTATGAGCATGCATGATACTCCTGAAGTCAACGAAACAATTACAAGCAACAAGAGCACCAAAGTTGCTACTGGTAATGCCAATCCTGATCAGCAGGCATGGATTGATGAAAGATTTGCTGAAATTCAGTCTTTGATGGCAAAGCTAAAGCCACCGGGAGCAGAAGGAATGCAAACCACAGCAAAACCTCTTTCGCTGCATCCCGCGAAACCACAAGACAAGTCAGCGACTAGAGGTTATAAAGGCGATCACCGAAAGTCGAAAGAAATGTCACAAAAGAAGGGTGAATCTTTTATTGACAAACTTTACGTGTCTGGTACTGGCGACAAGGCAGTCGATGCAACTGAGGTCGAGAAGATATCAGGTCCAAGTAAACTCGAACTGCAAGACGAGTTAAACATGCACAAGATGGTATACGAGAGTACAAGCCCTAAATCGACATCTACCGAAAGGCTTCAAGAAACTGAGAAGCCCAAAGATAAAAAGCGAAATCAAAAAAGTGAAGGAAAGCATTCTGGACAGAAATCAGAATTGCTGCCAGAGAAAGATGTTAATCAAGATCAAGAAGATTTCCATGACGACAATTCTCATATCGGAAAGAAATCGAGCAAATTGAACACGTCCCCCAGTGGCAGTAAAAACAGAGAATCTCTTCATGAAACCAAACGTTTATCAACTTCTACGAGTAATCCGATCAAAGGAAGTGCTAAACAAAAGGAAGAGCGTGTTGAAAAACAAGATGCTCATAAAGGCAAGAAAAAGGCTGGCAAACGTGGAAATGGAGTAAAACTTGATAGCGGCATTGTTAGTACGAAGACGGGTGAAGGTTTGAATACTCAACAAGCATTACCCGTACCCGAATCTGCAGCAGTCATCGATAACAGAATGAACAGAAACAGTCCTTCACCTGGTTGTACTCTTTTCAGAAAACAAGATGGCGAAACGGCTCACGATTCTGATTTATCGGACAGTTCTTTGCATTCTGGCGCTGGAGAAATAGTTAGATTGGCAGACGAAAGCCAGCCCAGCAGCGCTGCTCAGCAAACATCGTATATACCCGAAGCTACGGCATTTAGACGGGGACAGGGTTATGAACCAAAACGTGAACCTGATTTATCAGATGCTTCCTCGCGTTCTGCTACTGTTGGTACAAAATTCGCGTTAGGAACTGAAAGTCCACATGGTCGAACTACTCCGCAAGAGTCGCAGACAAACCCCAAAGTAAAAGGAAAGAAATCTTCCAACAGGCATCGTAGTGGCGCAAAACCTAATGCTAGTACTGATACATTGACCAGGTCACAGGATTCCGATGAACCTATTAGAGCTAAGCAAGAATCACAGACATCCGAAAATAGCAATACCAGCCTTTCGCGTAGTTCTTCCAAGAGAAACCAAGGTCACGGGAAAAATCCTAAATCCAAGTCACGTGGGAAGGGAATTTCTGACAGAACTGCTCTGCAAACGTCCGAGAATGACAGCAGTCCTTTGCCTAATCCTTCTTCCAAAAAAATCCAAAATCACGGGGAAAAGCCGCAGGCTGGTGATTCTTTGCATTTTAACACTGATCCTAAAATCAAATCACAGAGGGAAGTCATTTATGACAAAGCTACTCCGCAAGAATCCAAGACGTCGAAAAAGAAACGGAAGAAGAAGAAACGTGAAGAACAATCTAATATTGATTCGGATGACGATTCCTTGCAACGTAGCATTGACACAGCAACCAAGTCGCGGGATGAAAGCAATTTCAACAGGCGTAATCAAGAATCGCTCAAGTCCAAAAATAATAACATCCCCTTGGCTGCTCCTTCAAAAGGAAACCAAATTAATAAAGCAAAATCTAACTTCGACTCTGCTGACGATTCCTCACATCATAATAGAAAAATCAAGCCGCAGGATGAAAGCGAGCTCAACAGGAGTAAAAAAGGATCGACCAAGTCCAAGAATAATAACCCCTTGTCTGTTCCTTCGAGAAGAACCCAAATTAATGAAACAAAATCTAACGTCGACTCTGACGATTCCTCGAATCATAATATCGACAGGAAACCCAGGTCGCGGGATGAAATTCAGCTCAACAAAAGTAAGCAAGAAACGTACAAGTCCAGGAATAAGAATAATAGCCCTTTACCCGTTTCTTCACCCGCTCCTTCACCCGCTCCTTCACCCGCTCCTTCAACGAAATCCCAATATAATAGCGATTCTCTGCGTCATAATGCCCATACAAAATCCAGGTCATCAGACATAAGTCAGTCTAACAGAACTGATAAAGCATCACAAGCATCCAGAAGTAACAGAAACAGCACTTTGTCGATGACTTCCAAAAGGGGCCAGAATAGTGGAACAAATGCTGATCTCGATTCAGATGAAGAGTCTTCGCATGAGCGCGCTGATACCAAGTTCAGAAAGAATGAGTATCTGGATAGCACAACTACTCGACAAGCGTCAACCCAAAAGAACACAATTAGCTCTTCACCTACTCCGCATCTCGATTCAGCCAATAAGTTTGGTGCTGCAGATGTCTGGTCTGAGAATAAAAAGCCGTCCAGCAGAACTACTCAACGAACATCCATGTTGGGTGATGAAAATCAGGATAGCAATCGCAAGTTGGGAGCTGATAATATAAATCGCTTCTCGCGTACTTTTGATGCGGATACTCGGCCTGCTGATCAAAATCAATATAACGAAACTATTCGAGCATCATCTTTCACAAACAGCGACAACGGATTTAATGCAAACAGCTCTCTACCACGTGCTGGTATCTCCTTCCAGAGAGACCAAAGCTACGAAACAACCCGTTCGTCAATTTATGGAGATCAAAATCAAAAGACCACTCAGCCAACGGGTTCACAAACGAGAGATAGTCTTCACTTAAATGATGATGCTCATTCCAGGAACATGGGTTTCGAGAAAAATTACGGTTCAGATAATGTAGGGCTTGGGAAACAGCATGGGCGTCCTACTACTGCTGGTATCATGGCTGATTTAGAAAATTCGCATGGTGGTTTTTCGCAAAATACTGGTGCTACTTCCGGAAATCAAGGTCGCAACAAATTAAAAGTAGGAAACTCACAAACTCGCTATGAACCAAACGCCAAGGTATTCCATGTGTATATGCCTAAAAACTTGCCAAAAGGATGTGAGGTTTGGGTTGTTGGCGACATTCCCGAATTGGGCAACTGGAAAAAATTAATGGTCCCTCTTACACAATCAAAGAATTCAAAATATTGGTATTCGAAGCCGGTGGAAATTCCAACAGTTCGCTTTGGGAATCCCATTCGCTACAAGTATCTCCTTACCCTTAACAGCAGTAAGAGAGCACTTTGGGATGTGCGGGGTTGGTTTGCGTCAAATTCTGGTGACGTTTTTTTGTTTGAAGGCTATGACGAGCGTGATAACCGCACATGCAATCCTGCAAAGAACCAATATGATGTCTGGAAGCCAAATACCCAGTACAAAGTTTATTCTAAAGATCTTGAATCAGAGTTTGCCTTCCCCTTGCATGTATTTCAAACGGTCACCAACGAAAATCTCAAAGAAAAAATAATGGATTACCAAAGACTACTCAAAGGATATGAGGGCTTATGTATCAAAGAAACGCGCTTTATTGTTGATAATTATTCTTTCGAAACCTTGCAAGATGTAAACCGTATCTTTTTATGTGTGTTGATTGGCGTCCTTTCAAAGCAGTCCAACCGTAGTCGCGAAATCAAACTTCAGGAAGGGTTTCCGTCGGCTGATTTCTTAGATGCACTTGGTCGCATAGACGAGAACACTCTACTCTCGGACTCTGAAACGAAGCAATACATATCATATGCAGTTTGTGCATTAGTCCAACATAATTCGCGATGTTCAAAATCGTTCGATTGGATGAGAGTATTTAATGCAACAGAGTTTATAGATCCGACTTGGACGTTCTTGAATTCGATTGAAGTACGCGATCTTGACGCTGACGAATCAAAGCAGTTTTGCAAGTCTTTTATGATAAATGTCAAACCATATGTCGATGCGGCGAGTGACCATACTTATGTGAAACTATATAAAGTAAGTCGTCTCTGGGCGCGTGAGCCAATTTTGTCAATCACTTCTTGGGTCTCGATTTCGTTATTAATTACATTGATATAATTTCAGTTTTTTATCGAAATATCCAACGGCATTTACATTCTATCCTTTATTTGGACGACCTTCACTAGACCTGATGAGCAATTGACTCAGGCTTGGAAAGTGCGTCTGGGCCAAATAATCAACACAGATGACGCAATGAAATTACTTAATCATTATTATGAAGTCCCAAATGATCTGGATATCGAGTACAGCTCCGTGTTCGTCAAGAGAGCTATGATACTGTTCGACGTTTACAAGAACTGGAAGAAAGATGATCTCAATGCATTCGTTACCTTGTTTAAAGAACTACAATGGACTTCGGAAGATCAAATGGAAGTGCTACGACGTGCATCAAATTGTCGGCGCATGGAAGTATTAGAAATATTTGTGAATCTAGTGGAAATTGTTCTTGGGAGAACTCGTTCAGACTCAAATGTGAATGAAAAAATAGACGAGTGTTGCTCACAATGGCTCAGTCGTACAGTAAATATGATAAAGGAATCACATAAACATGTTCGCAATAATACGCAAAATAATGTTTGTATGACCTATCGTCAACTCTCCATCATCTACCCTATCATTGCAGACAGACCAAAAGTTAAAAACGGATTGCTTAAATTTGTCGAAGAAGAGATAGATCATTATGGGGACGAGCTAATTTATGTTGCAGCTAGAGACATAGGAAACTTGTCAGGAAAAGATATCGAGGCATCTTTTCGAAAGATTTTGCGTAGAAGACTTGCACAACCTTCTTGTCGAGCGGACGATATACTACTGAAAAAAATTAGGCTGATATGCGGTTGCGATGGCAAACAGATCCGAGTCCCTAATGGGTAGGTGATATTATAAATGAAGCTTTTTTGAGTTCTTGCTTTCCCAGTTTTAGTGACTGAATCTTTTACTTAAAATAGCTTTTGCGAGGAGATTATATTATACATTTTGACTAAATTGCAAGAAAGCGCTCCGCATGGAGACATCGAAATTAGCGATGATTTCCATAAGAGCTTATTGGATTCGTCGAAATTTTGGATTAGTCTGTTAACTGCCACAGGTGAAGTAGCTCATATTAGGCAGAAGCATATATATAGCATAAGGGTTATAAAAGCTATCAAAGATTTGACGGAAAAGCTTCGAAGTCAAAGAATCTCACTTGGCATGCTCCAGTATGTTCTCAATCATACGGATAAAGATCTCGCTGAATATTTAGCCATTATTAATGACAGGCAGTCTCTTCCCATTGAGCCGTCAACTCTTCGAGTATTTCGAGACACACACGCTGTCTACTATAAGACATTACGTGAACTCGGCGATTTTTATGAAAGATTTTGTCAGAAGGCTGGTGACGTTATAACTTATATTGGTGACATCGCTGAAAGAAGAAATTCTCTTGATAGGACTCGATATAGGGACATTTTGTCAAAGGAACACTGGACAATGCATCAACCGATAATGACAATTGCGGAACGCGCATCTTCATACGCCACATTAGTAACATTTAGTAATGTTTTTGAAATGTCCTTAAACAAAGTAATTGAAGCAGAGGCGATGAATGTTATAACCATTTCTCAAAAAGTAATGTTTGCAGCATTCGATGAATATGATAAAATACGAGTTTCTCACAAAGATTGGACAAATTTAACGTTCAAGAATGCAAAGCTAGTATGGAATAATGTCAAAGACGTGAGGGGAGAACTTGACTTCATGTTAAAAGACATGAAAATAAAGGCTTCGGAGGATTTGTTCAGGTCTATTTCAATTTTGTCGAAAATATCCAAGTGGCAAGAGCGAGCGGAATATCTGGATGCAGTTGTGGATATTTTCGATGTCAAGAAAGACAGTGGTACAGATTTTAAGCAATTGAGCCTGCAACTTAAGAACGAGGAAGGAATGTTAAAAGACTTGAAGGCGGTGTTCGATAAGTTTGACAACAGAATCAAAATTCTCAACGATGATTGTTGGAAGATGATCAGGGAAATGGCCAATGCACGTGGTTTATTGAAATGGCTTGATGGACTTCGGTCGGACGCGTTGAATAATGTAATTAACGGAGCAGATGATCAATCTGATGAACATTTGATCCAGGAGGACACAGTATCTGCTCTCATGGAAGTTAGACAATTTGTGACCCCGCTTAAGCCACCCGAGCGCTTGAAAATTGATGAATTTTTCAAAAATCTTCGCGAATTGACTAACAATAACAAAATGCTTGCGGAGAGAATCTCGCGTTGTAGTGCCAACTATTCTGCTCTGAGAAACATGTATGAGGGAATTAATAATAGGGGAGAAGTCACGAGAGTGCGCATTAAAAATGCCGCGACCCGAGGAATATACACATTTACCCGTGATCAAAATGAAGACCAGTGCTCCGTCGAGTTGTCGTATGATAAAGATAAAGATACTGATAAAGATAAAGATTCTGATAAAGGTACCGATAAAGATACCGATAAAGGTACTGCCAGTTACGGCTTAGCGGAATTGCAAGATTTGCGAGGTCGTGCTCTACTTATTGCTAAACAGGAGACGGCAACTTTAGCTTCTAACAAAGAAACTGGCCGAGATGATTTGGAACAAGAGGATATGCGTGCAGATGACGTGATGATGAAATTCGTTCGTCAAGTAGACTTTGTATACCAAATTATTAAAGTTGCATCGAAACTTATAGAATTGGGACATTTTGCTTATCGTAACTTTAATGAGGTGACTCTTAATATTGAAGATATGGAAGAATTACTTGATAGATTGCAAAATGATTTGAGGGATTGGTAAGTTTGAGGTTTCATGATTCAGCGTTGTTGAAAGGTCTATCCATACATATTAAATTAAACTATTGGTTTCTTGCGTGCAGGGAAGATATTGTAAGTGAAGCACAAGAAGATTACTATTACTTGACATTCTATACCGGAAGACATATTTTAGCGTTTTATGATTATTTCAGTCAAGATACAGCCGTCGATGACGATCACAGACAACTTTGCCAGACGTTGTTAAATTTCGTAAATCCCAATGCTCATCTGGTATCAACCGGTGGGATTGTGAAACTGGATTTGGAGAGAGAAAACTACAATGAAGTGCTATGTAGTATCGGACAAAGACTTTCTGATATATTTAGTCATGTGGCCGTTGTTATCAGGGGAATTCCATCCGGCACAATAAAGGAACCAGTCGCCTCTGACATTGCTCGAACTGGAGAGTTGTTTGTAGCAGCATGCAATGACAAGTTTCGAGTTCCAAATATCATTATGTCGTTGTATGCTAATCGCGGCCTGTACCCTGAATCCTGGCAGGTTTTTATATGCCGAACAACAACTACTGCTGAAGAACTCACGCTGTTTGTTAAAAGGTGCTTTTTTGCGCCAAGAAATAAATACGGGGAGCACCTGTTCTGTATTGCTAATTTAGAATTCCTTGAATTTGAGCTTCAATACAATCTAGTCAACGATATAAGAACGCTGCTTAATCGAGGAGAACCCTTCAATTTAGCTTTGATCTGTTGCAGAGAAAACGGAATTCATCATCATATTCTTGACCAGTTTTCAAAACATGTTGTCAATACTGTGGGACTCGAAATATCTTCCATGAAAAACATGTATGAAGAACTCTGTCCAAATGTCAAATGCGTATCTTCTGATTTGTCCGGACAAGGCAAAACAGAGTACATCAAGCAAACTTGTATGGAGACCACGTCAATCCCAAGAAGCGTGCTGATAAGTGACGGAATGCGTTATGACCGACTTGTCAGTCAGCTGCATGAATGTAAATTAAAGCGTATGGAGAGTTTGCACTTAAATATTGTTTCAGTTGACAATCCTGCTGAAGTCAATACCTTTATTTTTGAATTTCTGACACTTGGCATTGTGTCTAACAAAGTGAATATCTCTAGTCTTCCGAAACAATCTGTATTCATAGAAATCGCATCTACTATGGAACAATATCTGCTCGAGTCATTACCAATCATCAAGTGCTTACCACGAAAACATCTTACGTGGGACATCAACCGCTTTATCATCTCAAGTGAGATTTATAATCCAATACAGGTGGTGTGCCGCTACTTGGATGCACTCATGAAGGGTACAGTTGATGATAACGATATCTCTTTTGGACATGGAGGTATTCAAGAGCCCTTACCCGTCATGCGTTGTCGAGAACTCATACAACATTACTTCTTCGCAAACAATCCAGCTACCGTTGCTTCTTACCGCTTTGTGGAGATTTTTATAAACGTTTTGGCTGATCAATTAGTTCGTCTATCGTTAAGTTCTTTCTTCCGCGTTGAGAACCTCAACTTGATGTCACAAAATAGCAAAGTAAGATCAACGTTATTAGAAACATTAATATATGTGTCAAAAGACTTTGCCACACGTTCTGTCGCGAGCAAAGCCGCACAACTAGCGTCAACTGCTAAAGATGCAGATAAAGCACGATTAGCCACCATAGCGCAATGGGACGACTCGAATCATTTACTAGTGTTCTTCTTGTCACAAACACCAGACTCTATTTGCGCCCTCTATCGTGATAGGAAAAAAGTACCGGAGAACGTTAAACGTCTTTTGTGGAGCCAAAAAGCACAACGTGAAAGTTTGAAATCGTTTACCTTGGAAGACTATCATAAAATGCTACCTCGAACTCTGCAAGAACGTCTGGAATGTATAGCTCGTACATCGATGGAAAGTAAAAAATTTGGTGATTACGCTCTATCAGCTGACAATCTTATTAAAATGGCACTTATTTTGCTACGAGCACGCGCAAATATTCCGGTCGTTGTTTGTGGAGAGGCTGGATGTGGCAAGGTAATATTATTTTGTTTTGCCAATTCTTGTTTATTCGAATACTGTATTGACGTTTTTGACTTAATAGACAAGTCTAATAGCCTATTTGGCAAGAGTCATTGGTGTCCAATTCCATAATCTCTCTTTGCATGCTGGCATTGTTGAGAGCCAGATTCTTTTATTCATGAACAAGGGAAATGCCGATGCCGAGAAAACTGAAGATGAAGTATGGCTATTTTTCGACGAAATTAACACTTGCAACCACATTGGTCTCCTGGCAGATCTAATAGCCCACAGAATGTTCTTAGGAAAACCAATCCTTCCGAATATTCGCCTGTTTGCTGCTTGTAATCCTTACCGATTGTGTGTGAACAATGATAACGTAGCAGGATTAAAGAAAACAAGGGTATACAAAAGTAATCTTGTCTATCAAGTTCATCCTCTTCCTGATCAAATTCTTGATTATGTCTGGGACTTCGGTGTGCTCAAACCCGAAGATGAAAAGGTAAATTCGTAGTTCGATTGCACCCTCATAATGATAAACCGGTTCTAAATATGTTCTATCAATCAGTTATATATAAAAATCATGGTCTCAAGCGAAATAAAAGAGAATACAAAGAATTTTGATATGATCAGCGAATTGCTTTTTTCCTCCCAAGACTATATACGCCAAATCGAAGGACCGCAAAGCGTAAGTCTGCGCGATGTCAAAAGAGCAATCAAACTAATTAAATGGTTTCAACAAAGCCTCCGAGACAGAAGGGAACTGAAAGAAAGGAGGAAAAATACCCGTTATAAATACACAACGGGCAGGCATTTGCCTGAACTTCCCGTTGTTCTATCGTTGGGACTTTGTTATCAAGCTCGACTTTACAAACAGAACGAGAGATTAGAGTACCGTAGGCGGATGGCAAAGGTTTTCGGGAAATATAGCATTTACTTGACCTCGGAAAACTTTAAAGATATGCTTTACGATGAACAGAAAGATTGGATAGATAGAATGATATGTCCACCAGCAACTGCCCAAAATGAAGCCCTATTGGAAAATGTACTTGTAATGATAGTCTGTATAATGACACGAATTCCAGTCTTTATTATTGGAGCTCCTGGAAGGTAATTAAGAACACTGCAATCATTTTAGTAGGAACGGATATTAACTGCTGTTTCTTTGTTGCCAGTTCTAAATCGCTATCGATGCGACTTGTCAGTTCTAATCTTCGGGGCGTTGATTCGGAAAATGCGTACTTTAAAACGCTGCCACAAGTGATTATCCAAGTGATCTAGTTTATGTTTCTGCGGTCTTAGTTTTAACTTGCTCACGTTCAATATTTCCAGGTTATTGTAATTCCGCATCAAGGTTCATCAACTTCAACGTCTGACGGAATCGAGAAAGTTTTCCAGAAGGCAACAAAGTTTCAAGAAAGTAGATCCAGAAATTTCAACGTGCAAGCTGTGGTTCTTCTTGATGAAGTTGGTCTAGCAGAAACGAGTCCATTCAATCCCTTAAAAGTATTGCATGGACTTCTCGAACCTAGTTATCCTGAAAATGAACCAAAAGTGGCAGTAATCGGAATAAGCAATTGGAGATTGGACAATAGTAAATCAAGCAGGGCATTACTTGTCCAGAGGCCTCAATTGGACGAAAATGACCTTGTGAACACGGCTGAGGCTCTTCTTTTGGAAAACAGGAGGACCTGGCTTTTTGATGTTAGTTCGAAGAAGCAGAAGATACAAAGCATTGCCAGATCCTACACACACTATCAAAAGAATCAGAAATATCCCAATTTTCATGGTATAAATTAACTATCGGTTTTATTTTGTTATTGTCTATAAACTCTGACGTTTTTCTGTCTTTTCAACAGGTCTGCGTGATTATTATGCTTTGATCAAAAGTTTGGATAAAAAGGAGCTTACCGGTAAGTCAGGCCTGGTGTAAATCTTTCACATTATTATGAATTTTTAGATTCAATTCCTCTAACTAATACATAAAAAATAAATAAATAATGGTTTTTATTATATGTTTAGCGGAATCGATACAACTGGCGCTCGCACGAAATTTTGGAGGCACTGACCAAATGAAAACAATATGTGAATTTTACTTCGGGAATGTCTTGAATGCGTATAGTAGTAGATTCAGCAATTACGTTTATGTTCCCCTTTCAGTGGAAGAACTGATTTATGAGAACCTGAAAGAGAGGGATGGAAGGCATTTAATGGTTATTGGGAAAAGTGATTCAATTGTTAACCTCATTACATACAATTTGAGGTCACTTGGTATGGATCCAATGGTCCTATGCGGTTCACAATTCCCTGATGATGCTGACGGAGATTATTCTTATGGCATACTGAGTAGAATTATGGTAAGAAATTAAACTACTTAACAGGACGTAAATTTTATATTTGCTGATTGCTATTCTCTTCTAGATGTGTGTTGAAGCGGGAAAGCCACTTGTACTAACCGACCTGGATGCCATATATGGTAAGTCGTAGATATTTTCGCCAATAACAATGTCTTCATTCTTTGGCTTATATATTTCTGTATTGGTAGGGAGTTTATATGACCTTTGGAATCAGAATTACATAACACATGGTAGCAAAGACGATCCCAAATACTATACAAGAGTAGCTTTGGGAGCTTATGCTAATCCACTGTGTTATGTGCACCCGAATTTCAGATGCGTTCTTATCTTTGACGAAAAACAAGTTGCTGCTGCAGACCCGCCTCTTTTGAATCGCTTTGAAAAACAACGATTAACTCTTGATGATACACTCAACGGGAGGCAATATCAATTATATATCAAACTCGAACAGTGGGTTAAATCAATATCAACACTGATGAAAATGGAAAACGTCAATGCAGCTAGTGGATTTACCGAAGCAGATTTTTTTATTGGATATGACGAGGGCGAAACGCTTCAGAGTCTAGTGATCCACGAATGCAATAAGAATGCTAACATTAATGACGGAGCTATTTTAGAAAATTGTAAGGCAAGACTTATAGACATAGCATCATCAGATGGTTTAATCAGAGCTAGTCATTCTTTATTAGCTGCAGAGTCGGACGAAGTCATATTATGGAAAACTTCTTACTTAGACTATGGAGGACATGAACATATAGCGGCATACTTCGGACAATTAAGAGAATGTGTAAGCGAATTTAAATACAATGAAGGTCACCAGCTGATAATACACACATTCAGCAATATTAATACTGATATAAAAGAATGTCTCAGAGAAATCATAACGTGCCAAATGGACAAGCTGTCAACTTTCAAAGCCGAATCCCAATTACAAAACAGAGTTAAGCATTTTTGGTTTGAGAGTGAAGATCAGTTGCTAGTTCTTCAATGCGATCTATCAATAACACAGCCAGGCTGTATCAGATTAGCAAAATTTATTATTGAACAATTCCGTACAGAATATCTTGCAATAAGGACTAAGGATATGCCTCCCAAACATGCGTGCATTATATTACATCATCATAGAGACCAGGGCAACAAAAGTTCGTTCAATTTTATGTGCGGATGGGATCAGATTACTATTGAGTCTTTAGGAACCCAAGAAAAACCTTTGTCCGCTTTCCTGAATGGCAATCTCTGTGATATAATCGACTCAATTTATCCTTTCGAAGAAATCTTGCAACAAGAGCTGATCTGGTGCTTGCTTTGTATTAAATACCCATCGCCCGGACAATCAGTCGATCGTATTCGGTAAGTTTCGACAAGCGTACTATGTTTATATCTGTCATAAATTTAACGAAATATGTTATTTGAAGACTATTGGTAGACGAAATCTCCAGCAACGAAGCATTTATGGAAGTTTTGAAGACAAGAGTTATGTGCTGGATAAAGAAGAATATCCAAAAAAACTGGCAACTACAAGTAGCATTGGATAAAAAATCCCTCTATCTTCATTCGTCGTTTTTAAATGCATTACTGGCTCACGTCCGCATGCTTGTCAGGAAACCTATCGCCCAATTATTGTACGAATTGGAAAAGCAAAATGCTCTTCTCACCTTCTTCCACATTACCAGGGAAGTGGCTGACAACGGAAAGCTGCTCCGTTTGTGGACAGATACTCTTATGGACAAAAATGTTATAGATATTGAATTGACCACAGAGCCAAATCCAGAAGCCTATAACATAACGAATCACCTGTACGATTTTCGATTCCCGTTCTCATCCTATTTTATGGAACAAATCAATAGTTTCAAAGGGTTATATTTGGAGGCGGTCGCCCTTTTAGAAGAGGAAGATGAGAACTTTGATGAAAATGGGGAATTGCTACCTCGCCTGATTGAAGACGAGTTAAATAGTTTTGCAAAGAAAGTTGGGTATCTTTTACCACTACTCAAATCTGTTTCGTCTTCGGATCTTTATTTCAGAGACTTTGTGACCGTTATTGCTTCGAATTATGGTGGTGACAGAGTTAGTCAATTTCTCGCTAACCTTATCAGTCATACGATTGGCCAAGAGAATGTGCTGGATCCTATCAAGCTTCATGCATGCTGGTGGACAAAGTCAGACGCTGTGCTGGCACAATTGCAGTTGGCAACGTTATGTCCGACTATCATCAATGCGGCGCTAGATTACAATGAGGATGGGGCTAATAATTTTGAGGAATATTTGGTCAACGAAGTTACTAATATGACGCTAGGACGTTTGAAAAATCTCTCAGATGCCGACGACCAGATGATACAGTGGCAATTGGAGGCAACGCACATTCTGTCGCTCTGCTCTCAAATCTCGGTATCTTCATCGGTGCTTTCATTTCAGCTACTCAGGTTATGTACTTATTTGCTTTCAACTCGGGCTGTCCCTCTTAATCAACTTGTAGAAATTGTCAGAGAAAATGACAATATCTTAGAGGATCAATTTATAAATCATATATTCAATGTTATGGATGGATTCGAGCCAACAGAAAAGAACTTAACCTCCCGTCAAGCATTTATACTACGCTACATGGACTTGATTCCTATAGAATCACCAGCAAGAATACTTCTTTATGAAAAAATATTTGCGCCGGCAGAACCGCTACCGTTTACCGCACCAGTCATCAACCATATTTTTGGGCAGGAAGTTGATGATATCTTTCCACTAATAGTCGGAGATTTCGATAGAGCGTTAGAAATGTCCCAACACCTACAAATTATTAATACTGCACTCTCAAAGCATGATCCTGATTCTCTAATGGCAGCTCTTTGTTGTGATGTCATTCAGCAGAATTTCTTTGGTGAATTAGGCATGCAGCAGCTTTTAGAGCTCTTTCATGAAGCAACTCAAACTATTCGTGCCACTACCTCAAGTGTCTTGCAGATCATCTGTTCCATCGCTTTATTGAAACAATTTACCCATACACTTTGTGAATTTATCGACTTGGAGAACGCAAGGACTCAAACGATTCAGTTCGACTTTATGGAGACAGATGACCTGATGGAAAATATGAATCATATAATGGGTTTTGATCATCCACAAATTCACTCGATCCAGGTTTACTTTATGAAGCGTCTTCGTTCTCGTGGATTTACACTAGACGACATCAGGAAATTTAGTAACGTTCAAAGTCGCGTATTTCCTTGGTTAGAAAACTTAAAATGGGCCGACAGTGAAGATGACACTCGTCTTCCTTTCAATCCATACTATATTACTCCAGGATATGCGAATGCTGAAAGAGCTTACTCAGTCTTAAGTAGGCTTCACGACAAGACTCCCTTACATGAACTTGTACAAGAAGCAGCTAAACCTGGCAATATTAATGTGCGCCTTGCTTTAATGGGCATAATTGTAAATCATTTATATGTCATAAGAACACGAGGATTCAGTCACAGCGAAGAAGGGGTTGCTGGATTTCTTGCCGTACAACTTAACACTATGAATACTCATCCAGTATACAAGAGGGTAGCGCTAAGCACTATCAAGAATGGAAATCCCCTACTGCAAGTTTTGCCACAAATTGACAACACAGAGTTAATAATGAAATCCGTTCTAATTCATATAATTGCAGTCCATGCATCACTTCCAGAAGATCGTTCACCATTGACTTTGTACTTGCATAGATTGGGAGGAACGAAAGGAAGTTTCATATTAACTTCTCCATCAGATGAACAATCTATGATCTTTAATTTGCTTCGTCGTGAAGGCAACGTCACTCGGTAATGTTCTTTTTTTCTTGTGTCTTTCCTTCCGCTTATAACTAAAGGGTATTAAAATCCACCATCTTATTTAGATATCGATGCCAGTGCGGCTATATGTATATAGTAGCTAATTGCGGGAAGGTAAATCAATCTCAAACATGTCCAGACTGTAAGATAACTCTTGGTGGTGAGAAATCAGTAGCAGCCCCCGGCCAGACTAAACTAGACGCTAATCCCGTGAGGACGTTTAACAATCCAGACACGCCCGGTTATATCTTTGAAGCTGTAACACCAGATACTAGAAAAACGGTGCGCGCACTGACACCGACTGCGTACCGCGTTCTTCACCTTTTCGTACATGCTCTGATTGGAGCATCTACTACTCCACAGGTAGCCAAAGAATTTCTTAGTGCTAATGGTAACAACGTACCAGACTCTGTTTTTTATTGCCAACAACATATAACAAATGACTGGGAAGTTTTGAAAGCGCTTCTTGCATGCAACGATGAAACGTTGGCATTAATCATACACAGTATTCTGTATTCTATCCTGGAAAACGGAACCAACCTAAGTGCACACTTGAATACGGCGGAGGCTCGGGATTTATGGGAACAAGACTTCCTCGATAGACATGTTAACCCTTATACAAGAAATGTGGCAGCGACTGCCATGAATTTACGAGAAAAATTGGAAAAAGCTAAAACTGATGGGAAATCGCAGACGGCAACATTCGAGGCTGAAATAAATGAAGTTTATCAGACGACTGATACGTATCGTAAATTATACCTACCAAGACTATGGAGACGCGTTGAGCCGGCGAGCAAGGAAGGTTTTAAGGCGTATTTTATAAACAATACACAGTACAAATCCGCTTTTCCGTTCCTCGACTTATTCCTTGAGTTCGAGGAAAGTTTGTCTCTCGTAAAATATCTACGATCTCTTGTGAAGTTTACTCAAATCTTGACGAGACGCCTGGCGTATCGAATGACACGACAACAAGCGATGAACATGACATTCCGTGATTTTATTGATCGTGAAGAAAACAGAGATTCAAGACTTCATCTTGAAACCGCTTTCGAAAATTTTATGGAAGCTTGGAATAAAGTTCATCACTTGGTGAGGGGTTATAGATGTACATCATTTGAATGTCCCCAGATTTCTGCGTCGTCGCGGCTTGTTCTTGGGCTTGTCGAAAACAGAGATATCGGACTGTATTTGTACGCCATGTTGAAAATGTTGATACAACTTCAAAACAAATTTCTCGCAAAAGTTGTTCTCATTCCACCCGGCCGTTGTGGTTCGCTGAAGTTTATTGAACGCCAGGTGATGACCGACCAAAATGCTCGTACGACGCAATATTATATAAAATCAGTTCGCTTAGAAGATGCGCGACGATCAAACTTGATAGATTACGAGTGGAACGATGAAATTTTGAAGTATAGCCAGCGTAACTTGGAGCACGGTCGTGGTCAAGAAATTTCTTACGATCTATACAAAATTGAAGCAGAGATCGCACGATGGCTTGTATTTAACAAAGTATTTTTGGAAGACAGTGATGACGAAATATCATTTGGAATGTTCCCTTACCACAGGGATATGTTTCAAAGTTCGCTCGGCATTCTCCAAGAAATCAAAACTAAAATACCTCAAGAACCGATTCCTCAGGTGCTAATTGCTCAAATTACAGGATCCATAGAAAACGGTAATATGGAGGAGATCCGTTTGCTGGAGGATCCGCATACTTTATTATCCGCTCTTGAGATCCTGATATGCTTTGTGAAAAGAACAAGCCATAACAATAACCAAATCCCTATCAGAGATTATGTTAACGATTGGTTAAATTTATCGACTCTTGAACATAACGCGGAGATAAAAAAAATACTCGATTTGGGTTTAAAGCTCATGCATGTGGTCTCGTTATATGAACTTGTGGAAGACCGAGTAGGTGACGTAGTCATCGGTTGCATTGATGACAAGTATAAGGAACCGCTTACGATCGAGTTGGTGAACAGCCTTAACGAAGCATGCACATATGATGATGCTAAAAATAAAATTCCCGCTGCAGCCTTTGCTAGAGCTTTGAAGCGATTCGCATTAAGGTGCCTGTCAGTAAAGCGGACACCTCCTGTTAAAGAAGGGGATCATCTATCGACATGGCTGGAATCAACGAACTATTGGACGGACAATGTATCTGAAGAACTTCTTGAAAATCAGCTTCCGAAAAAATTAAAAGTTTGCCACACACACGCTGTCTACGACTTGATCAAAAAGGAGATTGAGGTGAGTTATTTCGAGACATTTAATGGAACGGTTTTAAGACTATTTAGGTTGTTACTTAATTTAACTATCTTACCGCCAGTGGAGGAATCGCAAACAGGAACGAAAACATCCGCAAAGGTTTACGCTGCCCAACAATAAATCTGGTTTAAAGAAAAAAAGGGGGGGTTTTAACAACACCTAATACTAGGTCAAGTTCTCAGTTTGTTAGTGTTGACCGACATTAGTAAAAAATCCAATTACTTTATCATCGAACTTTCCGACAGAGTAATTTGCTATCATTTTTTATTCGAGAAATAGTTTATTCTTATTAATAATAAATACAATCATACTTAGCCTGCACGATCATGATTTGAATCCCAATGTAATAAGCTTACCAATTATGGAATTACAAATTCAAACTATTTTGTCACGTACCGAATTTGAGCCTAATGTCTGTACAAGGACATTTAGGGTTCGTGGCTGCTTGGTAAAAAAAACCTCACTGACTTTCAAGAGAAACTTCCCCTAATTTGCCTCATTCTCACTTTATCCTTTTTTTGCTAATAGAACGAATTTGTTCTGGTAAAATACAGCAAATTTCGTTATAAATTTCAGATCACGAGCGTTTCAGCTTCAGCCCCCACAATTATTACTAATTATGATACTAATACATGGTCTAATTTTCCTAATTTCCATGCCAATTGTTTTACCTAAATCTATTCAGTAGACTTCTCGTCTTTTAATTATTTGTCAGCGCAAGCATCTAATGATAAAATTCAAAAGTCAAGCCGTTTCTCATTTATTATCCAGTCTCTCACTTGCTTTGGTTCTATGTCGATTCTGCTTGCTGTTTCTCGGATAGAATGACAATAAGTTTAGTTGCAGGCTTGTTAGCGCGAACCATAGTATCGAGGAAGAGAACGTGAATATCCGTGCATTATATAGTGTGTTACATAAACACTATTACTATGCCACCAACCGAGATGATAGTTCCAAATTTTGATTTCTGACGAGTCGCTTTATATTAATGTACACGTAATGCTGTAGTTTACCAGAAACGCCAGAACCATAGTTATTATGTGACTTTTGTTACGCTGGTCCTCAGTGTTGTTGTCAATAAAGTACTCCTCAAAACTCGCGCGGAAAGCTGATAAACCCTAATACTAACCCAATTTTTCAACCCCCGAATGTAATCAAACATTGTTTAATAATTACAAATTTCAGAATTTTGGGACCCACGACATTATATATCTAGGCATTCTGAGTGTTCACAACGTGTCATACTCTACTCCTTTGTAAATGTAATTTTTACTTTTTCGTTACATTGACACGACGAAAGGAAGCATATTTATTGTGCAAATAATCACGAAAATCATGTATAATAATAAATGTAAATAAAACTACGAAAAGAAAAGAAAAAATTTTCTATGCTCGACCAAACTTCTGTTTCTGCGCTTTCTTCGCTCTAATAGTGGTAGGTGATTTCAGTATGGGACGCTTGTTTGAGCTGGCCATAGATTGCTGCTTAGAACGTATTTTCTACATGATATGATCGAATTAATCGTTAGCATACAGATAGATGTGTGTGTGAAAATCACTCAAGATAATACTCACATCCATCTTCAACTTGATCACACAATAAGCCGAATGACTATGAGCGACAAGCAAGTTTTCTGGGAAGTATTTATCAACAATCTCTTCGGATACGTCCGACCAGAAATTCATCTGACCCAAATATAAATTGAGTTGCAAATTCTCGTCAACAGGTTTTACAGATAACATTCTCAACGCAAATCGCTTCAAGGCTTTTGCGAATGCTTCAGCAGGAATTTTTCCGAGTCTACCGTTGGTATCTTCAAATTCGCATGCGCTCATCAGTTCATCGTGTATCTCAACCGGGATTTCGCATTTGTATTTCGAATCAACACAGTCAATAAGTATATCGGCTACTCTGTCTTCTACTAATTCATAAAGCGAGACGACGTGTTTTAATTCTAAACCTGCTTTCAGAATCTTTTTCATTTCTGCATTTTTCTCAAGCGTTTCTAGTTTCATCCATTGCTTGACATAATTATTTAAAAGAACATCACTGTCACCGGTGGACGTTCTCCTGACAAAGCATAAGAGAATTTCAAGGGCGGACAACAACTCGGAGGGATTTTCGATAGAGGACGTCTGCAAAATGCCGAGTTTTCCGAATGTATTGATAGAAGTTCCGGTAATTAAAGCAACTTTTTCATGCGGAATAGGTTCCTGCGGAATTTTCTTTTTGATTTCCTCGAGGATAACCTGGCAAGTTTCGAACAATTCCATATGATAAGCCACCTTCTCGAGAGGTAGACCATTGTTTTCAACAGGTTCCAACAAGGCTTTGTCGCGTACAAGCCATAGAGCGAGCTCAGCCTCAATCTTGTATAGGTCATAGAAAATCTCCTGACCATGCCCAAAATTGAGATTGCGCTGACTGTATTTCAATAAATCTTTGTCCCATTCGTATTCAACGATGTTTTGTTGCCGTGAATCTTCTAAGCGTACACACGTTATGTAGTATTGAGTTGTCGTAGTAGAAATTGCTTTATCATCTTGATCCACTCGCTCTGTCATTATTTGGCGTTCAATAAACTTCAACGAACGGCAATTTCCAGAAGGGATAGCAACTACATCCGTCAAGAACTGATTCTGAATATTCATCAAGTACTCCAACATGGCACAAAGATAGATTCCCGCGTCTTTATCCTCAAGAAGTCCGAAAGTAATGGAGCTGTCTAACGTGATCTCAGGGCAAGGACCCAACTCATGACACTGATATCTATCTATAAAACATCTAACAGAATTCCAAGCATTCTTGAATTTTTCAAAAGAATCTAACAGGGAACGAATGACATCTTCGTGTACACCATTTTGAGCTTCACTTTCGATAAATCCGCGGAAGGTTATCTGCTGCGCTTTCTGTCGTGTCAGACGATATGTCAGTCGACTCGTTAATGTCTGCGTAAATTTAACAATTGGCCATAGATGTCCGACTAGAGGCAGCTTCTCTTCGTGTTTGAAAAACACGTTAATGAACGGGAATGTCGCTTTGTATTGATCATTATTTGCGAAATAAGCTGCAAAACTTTCTCTATTCTCGTCTATAATCTTTCTCCATAACCCTGGCAGATGATCTCTGGAATACTCGTCAGTCAACAATAAGGTTTCGTTTATCTCTGTCTCAAGTAGCGCGGCCTTTTGTTTCTCTTCTGGTTCAGCCCTTTCCATTTTAGTGCGTATGTCCATTGCCGTTGCTGCTACGTTTTTGATTATAGGAGTCACATATTTGTCACGGAAATATTGCTCCCACTGGTCCCGGGCTGCAGCAGTTTTTATATGTGCGTCGAGATTGGGCTTATCTGTCGTAATCGAATACAGTATATTATGTATTATCAAAGCTAGAGTTTCATCGTCACATGCAAGGACTGCCTTTAAAACGGCCCAGTCATTTGTTATATGATTACGGCAGTAAGCAACGGGATCATTTATTGGGTTCCCATTGGCATTCAAAAAGGCATTGACATTCGGTGAAGGAGCTGACACACCAATCAGAGCGTGCACGAAAAGATGCAAAATGCGATATGCTGCGGACGCGAGTGTGCGAACGTTTCGTCGAGCGTCCTCCACCACACCTTCGACAATATACCCTGGCTTGTCTTTATTGTCGACATTATGCAAAATTGGTTTATTATCCAACCTCTGCTGACCATCAGCCGGTACGCCGTATTGATGACCTCCAAGAACAGAAGCGCATTCTGGGCATTGTAACGCCATTACGACGTTTCCGCAATCCGCGACAAAATATTTGTAGCCACATTTACATTGATATCTGAATAATTAATCCTATTAGTATCAACACAGTAAAGAAAGATGAATAAGAAGGAAAAAAAAAAGGCGTACCGAGTAATGCCGTTACCGGGGTGTGCGTCATTAAGTGCGTTGATAATCATAGTTTCCTCGTCAGAAGGGCATGTCAAAATAAAGTGATTTCTTACAACCTGTAACCTTTGCAAGTATAAGGTCAATGGCGAAGATTCTGCTGGTAACGACGCGTGCACTGCAATTATGTGGACGAGGACCAATCGCATTATAAATTCTGCATTGTCTGTTTGTTGGCGAACGGCCAATAAAGCGTGCTTATTGGTAATTAGATTTAAAGCTAAATGTTTATAGGCTGCCGAAAAGTTATTCTTGTCAATTTGGCCTTGCAAGAATTTAGCAACTTCATTTTCGTTGTGGGTCATTTCACGTGATGCTCTAGTACCGTACAGATGGTTGACGATAATACCAATCAGAGCAATGCGTAAATTGAGACGTTCAGCTTTTAAAGCATTCTTCACAACAGCGCCTAATTGATCCTTTTCTAACACCCTTGTCATTGCAGTATAGGCTTTTTCTGCATCACCGTATTCTTGAAGTAAGCCGTAGGGATTGAACGGGATTCGACTGGCCTGATTAACGTAATCCCAAGGCAAATTTGCCAGCCAAGGTAGCAACCCCTTCTGAACCACGCAGAATTTCTTGAGGTCGTTAATGGTAAACCCGCGAGATCGAAGATTTTTCAAGAAATAAACTTTTAGCGAATGCATTTGTGCATGATTGAGTTCCATAGAGTCATTTAAGTCATCCATAAGCGTTTGAGTATCATCTGTCATCATAAAATTAAACTCTATTTGCTGAGCAGTGGGCTTATCTAAACCAACAGAATCCCAAAACTCCTGAACAAATTGTTTCAAAAGCGCAACAGAGCATATGCGTTGCAATGGTTCTGGCATTGTTCCACGTATTGCCTGAGACGCATTGTGGAAGAGTTTAGAAAGCTCATGGAAGTCTAGTTTGTTAAAGAAATTCTGCTGAATGACGTCACAACAGAGTGTTATAATTTGTGAATTCGGATCATGCATCGCCAAACGGCGATTAATAGCTTCTAGGCGTCTGGACTTTGCGAATGCATCCTTAGGATTGTGTATAAGTAATGGGAATATGTCACAATTCTCAATGTAGATATAATGAATGACGGCTGCTGTGAAGCGCAATGGTTCTGCGGGTTGGAATATCTTATCGTAAAGGAATAGTTGAACTTCCGAATCGGTATCAACCATATCTAAGAACCGTAACAAGAATGATTGACGTGAAGTCAGATTCTTCTCTGTTGGTTCGAGATTGTCCAAAATATTGAGCACATCGTTCAAGAAATTCACAGAAAGAAAGCCTTCTTCGTCATCAAGATTGATAATGGTTATAAGGCGATCAACAGGAATAACTTGTGTAGAAAGCAGATCATTACAAATCCTGAGTAGCTGGAACAATGTCACCTCGTCATATCTGGGAAGTTGGACGCATAGAGACATAATATTGGTGACGTCCAGCTGCCACTTCATCGCCTTGTTATCAATGTCTTCTTCGCCGGGAAGTTGCAGCAGTTTATCGATGAAAATTCGAGACACTTCATTTATAATACGTTGTTCAAATGTTTCTTCATACTCATCGTCGTTGTCTAAATTCTCCATGATAGTTGGACATAATGTTGCTAAATGCATTTGCGCCAAAACAGCATTTGATTTCGTCCACCAGTATACGTGCAACGAGATAGGGTTCAAAACTTTGTCTTCACCGATAAGACGACTTAGAAGAGACTTCAGAATTCCAGTAACCTTGTAGCCACCGTGATTGGACGCTATCACTGCGATAAAATCTCTAAAGTAAAGTTTTGAAAAACGTCGCAACGGTGCGGATCTAAGTGTTGGTAATGCCGAAAAAATGTTATCTGAGAATTTGTCAAGATGAGCCTCAACAACATCATCATAGAGTTCGCCGGTTTCCTGATCGACATTATTTTCATCTTCCTCTAATTCGGCAATATCGTCCAAATATATTTTCTTGAAGCTATTAATTTGCTCCATGAAGTAGTACGAGAATGGGAAGTGAAGGTCATGTAAGCCGTTAGCTATAGCATAGCCATCCGGTCCAGGCTCCTTGATTGTTTCGATGTCAATAGTCTTCTTGTTTAGATACATGTTCTCCCAGAATTCAATCAACTCTTCATCTCTGCTCAAATCCTCAGTAATGTTGAAGAACGTCAGGAGTGCGCAGTGCTTTTCCAATGCATACAACAACTGGGCAATGGGCTTCCTGACCAGGACACGAATATGAGCTAGTAGAGCGCCTGCGAATGAAGAATGCAAGTAGATAGCCCTTTTATCTGATGCCACACGTAATTGCCAGTTTGATTTAGCATTCTCGTCAATCCATTGCATGATTCTCCTCTTCAAAATATCGACGAATGCTTTATTGTTTGGAATTTTCTCTATCAATCGTCTTTAAAGTAGCAATGGTTAGTCAGGTGATACAAAGTCGGCAACGGGGGGATATGTATTCATATGACTTGTCGATACTTACCGAACATGTTCAATTGATTGCGAAGAATTTGGATATTTGATACAAAGTAGACACCATAATAATTCTTGTTGCAAGATCTCTTCGAAAGGATACGTTGAGTCGATTACTTCACACAGATCGCCTTCTATGAGAGCAGACAGAGGTTTCTCTTGAGGCACTAAAGTCTCGATAGTTACTTGTTCCCATCCACACATGAAGTTGAAGGAACTTGTGTTTGCCTGATCTCTATGATGATGCAATATAATACATGCATGTTTTGCTGGCATATTTACATTGTCATTACGTTGTCTTCTTGCAAAGTATTCGGTGCGGAACTGTTCAATAATGAACTTTGCCAATTTAATACTGCCCGCTCTTGTTGTCGATAAGTCACATTGTAGAAGGAGCAGCTCATCTTCGCTCTCAAACCAGAAATGCTTGACTCTGCTCTGTAATTGAGCCTCGGCCTTAAATGTTGACAGCTTGTCCACTTGACATTTCAAATTTCTTTCCAAGCATCCCTTTACATCCGTGTTAATATTGCTGAATGTATGTATTATTATTTGATACCCTTCAGTGTATAGAGAACGCGCAAATAATTGTTGAAAATACGCTGCTATATGATCGTGCCCTCCGTAGTTAAAGTAAGAAGTCCTCCATTTCATAACTTCATCCGACTGTGTAGCTAACGTGGAATGAGTAGCCCTGACTAAACCATCAGATGACGCGATTTTTATCAGTCTTGCTTTACAGTTCTCTAAAATTTCCTCATCGTCACGTGTCAAACTTTTCTTGCACTCGTCAATCACAAGACTCTGGAGAGTTTCATCCTTGTCGTATCCAATAAATAAATCTGCTTCGGTAAATCCACCGGCTATATTTATACCTTCCATCCTCGTTATTGTTGATATAGACTTGACCCAGTTTTCAAGTTGATCGTATAAATGGGAATGCTCTTCCTTGAGTGTATCATTGATCGTTAGTCGTTGCTTTTCAAATCGATTCAAAAGAGGAGGGTCTGCCTCGTATACTTTTTTTTCATCAAAGACAAGGACGCATCTGAAATTCGGGTGCACATAACACATTGGATTGGCATAAGCTCCCAAAGCTACTCTTGTATAGTATTTGGGATCTTCTTTGCTACCTTGTGTTATGTAATTCTGATTCCACAGGTCATACAAGCTACCTAAAAGATAAAAGTATGAAGCAAATTATGAAAATGTTTTTTTTAACACCAATTCTTATATTAAAAGAGTCGAAACCAACCATATATAATATCCAGATCAGTCAAGATAAGGGGTTTTCCTGCTTCAACGCACATCTACAAGTGAATAATTTTTAGCAAGTTGTGACTAACAAACACATCTCCATGATTAGTTCAGAGACTTACCATGACTCTACTTAATACGCCGTAAGAATAATCTCCCGCTGCATCGTCTGGAAACTGCGATCCGCAAAGGACCATTGGATCCATACCAAGCGACCTCAAGTGATAAGTAAGGATGTTAACTATTGAATCGCTTTTCCCGATTATCATTAAATGCCTGGCATCTATCTCGTGAAGGTTTTCGTCAATTAGGTTTTCAACTGGAATTGGATCATAGCTATAGTTGAGACTACCGGACTCCTTTAATACATTCCCAAAGTATTGTTCGCATATTACTGTCATTTGGTCAGTGCCCCCGAAATTTCGTGCAAGCGCCAATTGTATTGAATCCGCTAAGAAATTAACAAACCGCGTTTAAATCACTGACGCTATTAATATCGTCAAATGCACATATCACAACTTGACTCACTGGTAAGTTTCCCTCTGCTCAAACTTTTGACTAAAGCATAATAATCACGAAGACCTGTTGAAAAGTACAAAGATATAATGTCAAAACATGGATTCACAAAAAAGTGCTATCTTATAAGACACGTATATACCATGGAAGTTGGGATATTTCTGCTTTTTTTGGTAATTTGTGTATGCACTGGCAAGATATTGTATATTGCGCTTGTTCATATCAATTGATGGTCCGCGTTCGCCCTTCAACAAAAGAGAAAGGGCTGTCTGCACAAGGTCACTTTCACTCAATTGAGGTCTCTGAACCAGCAATGCCCTACTCGATTTACTGTTGTCCAATCTCCAGTTACTTATTCCGATTACCGACACCTCTGGTCCATCCTTAGGATAACTAGGTTCGAGTAGTGCATGCAGAACTTTCAAGGGATTAAATGGGCTTGTTTCTGCTAGACCAACTTCATCCAAAAGAACAACTGCCTGTAAATTAAAGTTTTCGGATTTGGTCTTCTGTAGATTTTCTGCCTTCTGGAAAACTTTCAGAATACCATCAGATGTAGATGAAGATGATCCTTGATGTGGGATTATAACAACCTTAAATTAAAGCAAAGTCGATGTTAGACGAAAATTCTAAACAAAAACATTATTGCTCGATATAATTACCTGTGGTAGTCTTCTAAAGTACTCATCATCAGAGTCTGTCCCCCGAAGATTAGAACTGACGAGTCTTATCGCCAAAGATTTGGAACTAGTAATCAACAATATAAGTACATCAGTACCGGCCAAAAGATTGCGTATTTCATAACAGGTAATCACCTTCCGGGTGCTCCAATAATAAAAACTGGAATTCTCGTCATAATGCAAACTATCATTACGAGCACATTTTCTAACAGTGCTTCGTTACGAGCAGTAGCGGGTGGACAGGCCATTCTGCGTATCCAATCATTCTGCTCCGCCTGAAGGAATCGCTTAAAGTCGTCAGCGGTCAGACGAACTTTGTGCTTGTCGAAAATACGAGCCATCTGTCTGCGATACTCTTCCCTCTCATCCTGATCGTAAAGCCGAGCTTGATAACAAAGTCCCAATGATAAAACAATACAACGCTCGAAAAATTGTTTGTCTTTTGGCGGATAGTTGTAATAATAATCCTCGTCATAGTAAAACCCGGTTTTCTTCTTTTTCTCTTTCAAACTAAGCCTCTCTTGGAGACTTTTGTGGAACCATAAAATTAATTTGATGGCTCTTCTAACGTCTCGTAAGCTTACGCTTTGCGGTCCTTCGATCTTGCGTATGTACATTTGCGATTCAAAAAGCAAATCGCTTATGACGCCGACCTTACTTATTTGGCTCTCGACCATAATTTTAATATACACCTAAGTGATAGAACGCAACTATTAGTTAGTAGCTCTATTATGACATCAAGATACACTTTTATAATCACCTGTTCATCTTCGGGCTTGAGCACACCAAAATCCCAGACATAGTCAAGAATTTGATCAGGAAGAGGATGTACTTGATAGACGAGTTGACTTTGCTCCTGGTAGACTCGTCTTTTCGCTAACCCTGCTACATTATCATTACCTACACGCAGTCGATAAGGATTACAAGCGGCAAACAGACGAATGTTCGAATGTATTGGCTTTCCTAACAGCGTTCTGTGAGCTATGAGATCCGCCAAAAGACCAATGTGATTGCAAGTGTTAATTTCATCAAAGAATAACCACGCTTCTCCTTTTTCGGCAAGTTTATTCCCTGTGTTCATGAACGCAAGAATCTGGTCCTCAACAATACCAGCATGCAGCGAGAGGTTATTGAATTTGACTCCAACAACCTCGGCCAAATAGCCGATCAAACTTGTCTACCAAAAGCAAGACATCGATTAGTTGGTATATAAGCATTGATCTCAAACTAGTGAAAGAAATCTTACCTTGCCACATCCAGCCTCTCCACACACTACAACCGGGATGCTCGCACGTGCTCGCAATAATATTAGTGCCATTTTTATAAGATTATCGGCCGATAAAGCATAAGGAGGGAATTTTTGTCGTTCCATCGACGTACGGGCGATACATTCCAGGCGTTCTTGCAGAATTTGAGTTGTCATCTCGTGATAATTTTCTAGTTTAAATGTTTCTAAACGTGCGCGATCTGATGCTTTCTGGCTCCATAAAAGACGTCTGACATTGTCTGGCGCTTTAGCTCTATCACGGTAAAGCGCGCAAATAGAATCTGGTGTTTGTGATAAGAAAAACACTAACAAATGGTTTGAGTCGTCCCATTTGACTATCGTGGCTAATCGAGCATTGTCGGCGTCTGTGGCAGTCGATGCTAGCTGTGCGGCTTTGCTTTCAACCGAGCGTGTCGCAAAATCTTTTGACACACGTAGTAGAGTCTCCAGTAGCGTTGATCGTACATCGGAATTTCGCATCATCAACTTGAGGTTTTCAACACGGAAGAAAGAGCTTGAGGATAAGCGAACTAATTGATCAGCAAGAACTCTAACGAAAATCTCCACAAAACGATAAGAAGCAATTGTCTCTTGATTTTTTTCAAAGAAGTACTGTTGTATGATTTCCCGACAATGTGCTTGTGGTAATGGCTTGGCTACGGTTTCATCGAAAAAGATATCATCATCGTCAATTGCCTTTTTCGTGTATACATCCAAATAGCGACAAACAATTTGAATTGGACTATGAATTTCGCTTGAGACAATAAAATTATTAATGTTCCATGTAAGATGCTTTCGGGGTAAACATTTAACGATTGGCAATGACTCGAGCAAATATTGATCCACGGTCGACGCAATCTCAATCAGGATAGCTTGCTTTGGAAGAGTAGCAATATGTACTTTGTTAGATACCATCCCAAGTGTAAGAAATTCAAAAATAAACATGTTGACTTCTGCGGCATTGTCGACAGAAACAATGTTCAAGTGCAAACTCTCTAAACGTTTGGGTTTGCATTCATGTAACTGACGCACAAGTCGATCGTAACGCATGCCATCACTTATCAGCACGCTTTTTGGAATTGACTTTGCCTTCATACAAGTTTGTTTGACGTACTCCGTTTTACCCTGACCAGATAGATCTGAAGATACGCATGCCACATTCGGACAGAGCTCTTTGTACATATTTTTCATGGAAGCTGCCTCGAGGCCAACGGTATTGTATACATGGTTTGAAAATTGGTCAAGAATGTGGTGATGGATACCATGCTCTCTGCAACATATTAATGCTAGTTTATAATTCTTCTCTTGTTCAAGCATCGTTCTTATGTCCTTAACGAGATTGTATTGTAGCTCAAATTCAAGAAATTCCAAGTTAGCAATGCAGTACAAACAATCTTCGTAACCGTTTGCCGCCGCAAAAAAACATCTTTTGATAAATAACGTAAGTTCTTCAGCCGTTGTCGTTGTTCTGCATATAAATACCTGCCACGGTTCAGGATATGAGCCATGGTTAGCGTACAACGACATAATAATGTTTGGAACCCGAAACTTGTCATTACATGCTGCTACAAACAGCTCTCCAGTTCGTACAATGTCGGAAACGACTGGTTCCACTATATCAGGCTTAATCTTTCTGTCAGAAACATCCTCATTATAAAAGATTTCGGAAAGTCTTTCTCCAATACTACATAGTACTTCCTTGTAGTTTTCATTGTGTGAATCCACCTTCAAAATCCCACCAGGTAATGGCAGTTGAGCATCAGGATTCACAAAATGTAGCAGCGTCTCGCAAATTTGTCTGAGATCGTTTGCTGGCGCATCTTGAGTGAAATAATCATAGAACTTCAAGATATGTCTTCCGGGATAAAAAGTCAGGTAATAGTACTCCTCTTGCACATCTCTTACAATCTCCTCCCTGTAGAAATAATTAAGTTATACATACGTAAAAACTATAATAACGGGCATTGCATCACGGGAATTTATACTTGCCACTTCTCCAAATCTTCTTTTAATTGATCAAGTAGTCTTTCCATCTCTGTAGTGTTACGCGTCAAAGCCCGAAACTTTCGATAAAAGAAATGTCCCAATTCCATTAACTTTGTTGCAAAGTTAATAATCTGATGCACCGAATCTACTTGTTTAACAAACATCATCATCACAACGTCTGCTCGATCCTCTTCGTACTTGGGACGATCTTGAATAGTTTCCTTCTTCATAACGAAAGTTGCCATTTCCTGCTTGGCGATGAGTAAAGCCCGACCTCGCAAATCTTGTAACTCAGTCAAGTCGTATTTGTTATTACCCTTCTCTGTTTCGTACGACATCTCAACGGAGCACCGATCTTCATACTCATCGCGTTTAAATGTGTAAACTCCCCTTGTTGCAGCATTTTTAATACGCTCTTTCGTAACTTCGCCTCTATTAGTAATATTTTCATACATATTCATTAGTGCAGAACGATGACCATTACAGAGAGAAATTCTCTCCGCGAGTAGTTTATTCTTATCAGCCAATTCGCGAAGCTTCTTTAAAAATCCTGGAACTTGCAATTGCACTTCAACTGATTTGAGTGGAGCCAAAAACTGTTTGACTTCCATAAGAGAAGAAACTGTGTCTTCCTGGATTAAGCGTTCGTCAGAGTGGTCATCAACTCCGTTAATTACGTTCTTCAAATCATCCGATCCAATTTTGTCAAGCCAAGCCAATAAATCGCGAGCGGCGGCTATCTCTTTGATTATTTTCCAGCAATCATGATTTAGATCTTTGATAGCCTTTTCTAGTTTTACGATCAGTTTCTTTAAATCTTTTAACGGCATTGTTTCCTTTTCTAGGCCGGCAAGCATCGTTGAAAATGTTTCTTCTTCGCCATCCACGACTGCGAAAATCTTCAATACATCTATCAGGTATCGTAATCGCTCTTTCCACTCGGGTATTTCAGATAGTACTTTAATCGATCTCATCAAATCTTGTGAAGGCTTCCATTTCATGCCTTTTGACATTAATTCAAGTTCTTGTCTGACATCATTCGCGTTTGCCCATAATGGACTTGCTTGAGCGCACGTTAGCTTTTCCCAATCTTTATAAGCAGCTCTTTTTTCATCATACTTGTTGAATGCTGCCGTGGTAACTTTCTGAGCGACCACTTCTACTGTCAAAGGTTCTGATTCTTCCTCTTCTTTCAAACATTCCTCAAAGACATTGGCAAAGGTTCTCGAATTACGATACGGATATATGCGTTCCGCAACGTCACTTATTGATTGATGAATTGCCCAATACTCCTCTAATAAAATATCTTTGTACTGAACCTTATCAAGCGAATCCCTTCTTTTAGCAATATCATTGAGGTAAGCTTCAACATTGGTCACTTTGGCATCTTTCTGACAAAATTGTTCGTAAAATGTACTGAGTTGACTTAAAGTCTTTTGGTAGCCAGAGAATACTTCCCGAAATTCCCGAATAGTACGCGGTTCAATGGAAAAGGACTGTTTACTGTCATCGAAATTGTCGAGAATGCCAAAATATTCGCAGAGGTCTTGGTCCGGATAATGAAGAAGTTTTTGAAGCATGCTTATTGTAACGCGTTGACTTTCAAGCTTCTCGGCCAAGCCTTCAATAGCTCTTCGAACTCTCTCACAGTAGAGATGTTGTTGTTTAATACGGTCTACACAACCCTTGGCAGTCAACACGCTCACCCAAAATTTCCAAGAACCTAACAAGGTCTGGTGAAATTTGTCGCTAATTTCGTCGGCTTCTTGATGAGGAGCGCTTTCTTGCAACTTGGTCAAAATATGGAATAGAATATCTTCACAGAAACTATAATGTAAAAAGGATCGAACCACTGAAGTTTAACACAAAAAAAAAAAAAAAAAAAAAAAAAAAAAAAGTAGAAAGTTTTCATTGTCACTCACCCATTAGGAACTCGAATTTGTTTGCCTTCACAATCGCAAATCAGTTTAATTTTCTTCAGTAAACGGTCATCGGCCTTCCAAGAAGATTGCCCAAGCTTTCTTTGTACAATTGTGCCAAAAGATTTCAAGATCTCCTTCACTGATAATTCTCCTATATCTTTGGCTGCTGCATAAATTTGAGCTTCCTCGAATGGATTGATCTCTTCTTCAGCAATATTTAATAGTTCATTTTTAATCGTCCGTCGATCCTCGAGGATTGGATAAATGGTAAAAAGTCGTTGATAGACCGTATATACATAATTATATCCATGAGCGCGAGAGCGTTTACGCGATTCCTTTATTTGATTCACTATGCGCCTGAACCATTGTGCGCAATAATCACCGAGTTTCGTATTCATTTTTGAATCGAAATGGGTTTTGTCCAGAACTATCTGAAGCAGTTCCACAAATACATCCAATAATTCCATGTTTTGTGAGGTTGATACCGAACTCAATACCTTCATTCTGTCTTCTGACGTCCATGGCAGTCTATTGTCTTCGAACAACGCAACAAATCCCTTAATATTGTCTCCATCCCATTTCGATCTTGATCCATTGAGTAAATTTATAACCCTCTTAATGAACAATGACGTAAATTCGATATCTAGATCGGTTGGTATTTCGTCCAAATGCACAAGTAATCTTGTTGGATTATCCTTGCTAATTATCTCGTCCAGTCGTCTCATCATCCAATTCTGTCTTAATTCAGCCTTCATTTCTGGTCTAATCATCTCCCTCCACAGAAAAACTAGAACTTGAATATTGGCGGATATTTCAATAAAAAACTAACAGTATATATTACATTAGTATCACACTCGAGGCTTTATGCAGCGGGAAATTAGATTATACTTACTCTACATAATCGAATGTATTGGAAATCCTCCTTTTCTATATTAGATTTCTGCTCGAGAAGAAATTTGCAGAAACGATCCGATTCATCAGGGTTCAATTCGCGTCTTCTAACTGACTCCAAGAACGAATATTTCGGATCGATAAAAGCCGCTACTTCGAACATTTTCATCCACTCGAAAGCACCTGATGTTTGCCAATTATGCTGGACTAACATGCGAACAGCGTAGGGTAGCAAGTCTATAACTTCGCTAATCAGTGTGTCACCGCTGCCTATACAACTAAGAGAATTCAACAGGCCGGCCGATGGAAATTTATCCTCCAGCCTAACCTCGTGATTATGATAGGACATTTTCGCAATAATGCCGAGCAGTATACACAAGAAAATACGTTGTGCATCCTGGTTGGCCACGTAAAAGCTGTTGCTGATAAATTCTATGTTCACAGTTTTCAAACATAATTCTCTGTGTTGCTTGAATACCCGCTGATAGTCTATAAGCTTGGTCTTGAAATTAGCTTCGGTGATCGTTTCGAATATTTGCGTAGGGAAGTAAAAAGGCTTAAGATCACGTTCATAAAGGGGGTATTTAGGATTCCGCTTCCAGACGTCGTATTGGTTCTCTTCAGGAAAAAGTTCGCGATTATCTCCGTCGTCATTGCCTTCATAGTAAAAAGCATTATTATTCCAGAATCTAAATCCCCCGCTTTTGGAAACTATGACGTATTTATACCAAATGACACGTTGAAAGCGAGGCGTCGGAATTCTCACTGGGTCCGAATACCAATAATTCGAATCTTTATATCTCCTAAGGCAGATTTTTAATTCCTCCCATTTGCCCAATTCTTCGATATTACCGACAACACAGACTTCAGCGTCCTTCACCTTAGGCATATGAACGTGAAACTTTGTGACCACTTCGTCAGAATTCTGATATTGAGGCGGGATCGGTCGAAGCAGTTTCTTGTTCTCTTTCTTTCCGTAAACATCACTCGTCGTTCCTGTTTTGGTGGGCTTCCTATTGTCAGATGCTACCGTTGCGTAAGATCGAGTAGGTTGAGAACCTCCCATTGAATTAAAATCGGAGTCTGTTCCGCGATCTTTGCCTTTATTATCATCCTTAATATTACGTTCCTTACGCACGTCGCTGTGAGCCTCTGACTCATCACCTTCGTCATTTTCTATCATGCCAACAATATTAGGCACATTTTTCGAAGTACCCGTGGAAACTTTCCGAATAACCCTTGGCTTATTCGTCCTTTTTTCGTTATTCACCTTATCGCCATAAGAATCTTTTTGATCATCTTTTGAGGTACCCATGGAAAAACTCCGTGTATGGCTCGCCTTATTTCTCCGTTTTTCGTCACTCTCACGTAACGCTACATTGCTTTCTGTGTGTAGATCATCGCCATAAGAATCTCTTTGACTATCACGCCTTGCACCTTTCTGTTCAGACGCCTTCCACGCTCCCCATGCAATTTCTTTCGCCTGTTCATTCCCTCCCCGTACAATTTCCTCTATCACCCGTTCATTCGCTCCTCGTGTAATTTGCTCCATCTCCCGTTTAGCCGTCTCCTGGTTAGTATTCTCTACAGATCTTTGTTCACTTCCGTCCGTTTCATTCTCGTCAGAAGTTTCCTTCGATGCTTGTTCATTTTGTCCCATATCCTCTTCGTCAGAATTCGTCACCACTCCGCGTTCAATTGGTTTACTTCCCTTTTGGTCAAATTCCTCCGCTGCTTCTCGTTCAATTAACCCCTTTTCCTCGTCTTCTTCAGTTAGCTGGGATTTATCGAATATCATTTTATGCGAATTTAGTTCATGTTGTGTATTCAAACCACTAGGGACAGACAAGTCATTATTTGCGTCGGCTGCCTTGCTGTGCAACGTAGATTCATTAGAATCGGACGGCTTATACTTAAAGATGAAGGGTGTATCCGTTTCTTGTGAACCAGAAGAGGACTGGTCTGCTTCTTTTCCAGTCAAATCCACTGAAGAACGTTCTGACGATTTTGCCGTTTCTTGCTGATGGTCACTGTCCCCAGCTTCACCATGATATATTGCTAAACGTGGCGAAGGAGGATCTTTTGGCGATTGTGGCGTGTCATCTTTATGAAATTCTGCTGAACTTGGTGAAGGAAGGTCTTTTGGAGATTGTTGTGTGTCATCTTCATGAAATTCTGCTGAACGTGCTGAAGGAAGGTCTTCTGGAGATTGTTGTGTGTCATCTTCGGCGTCTGCCAGGGCTTGTGAGAGAAAATCACTCATAGATTTTCTAATGTCGGCCAATCTTTGGTCACGTTCCATGTCTGACGCCTTATTGCCACCAATTCTAATATTATTGTCGACTGCGGCCAATCCACGAGATTCAGAATCGTCAGATAGGTGCACAAAAGAGTCGTCCTTTTTGTCTGTAGACGAAGAGTCACCTTCGCTGCTGGAACTGTCAGAGGCACTGCTCACGTTTGCATATTCTACAATTACTGCGTCTTCTGATTTGGTTTGTTCAAGTTTTTGTTTTTCTTTGTCTTGTGACTCGTCTGAATGTGTTAATTGACTATCCGATTTAGTGGCTTCAATTATATCCGAGTTATTATCCTGTGTGTCGTTATGAGGCGGCGCAACGAGGACATAGGACTCGTTCCGTGGTGTGGTATCATTAGAACTGGGCGCTTCCGGAGAAGACGCTTCGATATCTAGTGAGTCGTCACTCGAAGACATTTCTTTTTTTTTAGTCTGTTTTTTGACAATAAAGTATCAAACCCCAAGAGCCTATTCTCAAAAGAACACGGCCAGAGAATAAGAAAATCGTCAAAATAACAAAGAGTGGAGCTTTATACGCCTAAACCGGACTTGTAACTCCAATATTCCGACAAACGTAATCGATGATTTTGGGGAGGGAGCGTGTGATCCTTACCCGAGCCGAGTGAACCCCAAATCTGCAATAGTTGGCCAATTGGAATGAGGGATTCTTATAGGTACCCTTATCGGAGTTACACGGAACTATTCCCGATATAGTGAACAGTGAATATTTACTTTATGAAGGCAGAATGATAGTAGGGCGACGTTTGTTCAACAAACCGTCACATGTGACCGGGCAGACGGTGTGAACATTTTAACAGATGTGGATGAGGCTTGGCCAAATGGACAGGTTTGGTCCAATTATAAGATAACGTCCCTACCGCTCCCCCACCCCTGCCAATATCTCGAAATGAAATGCTCGCAGTGTAAGATTGATAAGTTGTCAAATGAATTTCCGTCGTCTCCTGTGACTGAGCGTTGTATCCATGTATCTTCGCATTGTTTGCGGGTAATCTACAAACATTATATCTAGTCAAGAATGTGTTTTGTTAATCAACATTGTAACTTGCATGCTTTGTTTGTGTTCAGTGTCTGGTCCAATCACTAAACAAACAGAACGAAGACGAGTATCATTGTCCGGGATGTAAAGCGGCACTTAACAATGAAGAAGTCGTAAGATGGAGGCAACGTTTGGATAAGGCTTCGTTTAAGTTGAATGTCGATAAACTTGGTCGTCGCCACCTTGCAAACATAGAAAATGTCGACAATAATGAGGAGATTGTTCAACAAGGGAATATATATGTGGTCTTACTAAACGGAGAGAAGATTGTAGTCGATTACGAGAAAGTGCGCACTGTAGTGGCATTACGGCAAGAAATTCGTACCAAGAAGAAAATAGAAGTCACCAAGCAAAAATTGGTGTACAATGGTGTTGAGCTCAAGGTTGGTAAGGAATGGTACTGTCAGAGTATTTATTGTTCGAGTATTTTCTAGTCTTATCATCATTCTTCTACGGTTACAGGATCATGCGGACGACAACGGAGATAAAAACCTTGTCGAATATGGCATTAGAGCCAATAGTCACATACAATTGATGGTTATTCTTTACGAAATTACGGAAAAAGAAACTATTAAGGACCTTGTATTTGATTTAGACTGGGGATTCCCCAACGACCAAACAGTCGACTATCTCGATGGAACTTGTTTCTTGTATACGGGTAACAAATACTGGCGCAAATACGATTATCAATCTCAGTATTACCCATCTACGCAAAATACGAGACATTCCGGTGACGTACTTAACCGTACGACCAGAAGAGGTGACTTTGTATATAAACTCTCTCTTTTATGTTTTGTGGATATACGTGACTAGCAACTTATATCGGACATCTTAATACACATAGGCCACCATAAGATAACATCTAAACTGGACGAACTACCCGAAAACGTGACGCATTTGTATTTTATCCTTAGCGCATGGAACTCACCATCCATTGGATGCTACAAGACTCCAACGTTCAGTCTATTAGATAGTGAACATCCCGATAAGAACTTGTGCAGATATGAACTCGAAAATGTCGCACATTCAAAGGCTGTCATCATGTGTAGTGTTGCGCGTGCCGGGACTAAATGGAATGTCTACATAGTTGGCACGGAGTCCGCAGGTAATGCGAAAGATTACAGGCCAATTGAGCAGAAAATTCAGACCATGGATGGGTTGTTTTAGAAATGTGTTTCGGCTGCGGCTTGGCATTTATTTGTGTCGAGAAACATGTCATACTTCCTATTCGAATATAGCTTAACATACGCTTTTGAAATTGAGCAAAAGAGAACTATATAAATCGCATTGGTAACGGTCGATGTTTGTAATATAAGAAGGGGCACGTTTGTCTAACTAAGCATCCGCAGTGCATGACCATCGTCTGTTCGATAGTTCTATTTGCTCGTTGTTAGTCTTAGTCTCTTATTATTAGTTTAAATTACGGTTTTATTATTGAGGAGAATATTTATTATTTGAACCATAAATAAAGGACGAATTCATCTTCAAATGGCCGCAGAAAAGATTAAAGATTCCAATCTCCTTCTCGCAGTTTAATTAAAGCGAAGAAATAATAGTACTGATACTGGACACTCGCTTTTATGCACATCATGTTTATTGTCAAGAGGATTGTAAAGCCTAATTGCGGGCCAAGGTTACTGAAATTAATAACGAATTCTCCAACACTCTGAAAATTCTACCAGCGTTGAATAACCTATATTTGCAAACAGTAGCGTTGTCTTCTAGTACGTTCTCCAACTTATCCAAATTAATTCCTACACTTAATTGTATTCCGGCAACTTTTTGTCTCAAAAACATGAGAGACCCGGACTTGCAAGTTTGAAGAAGTTGTTATTAGATAACTACAATGTAAGCTTCCAATACATATTTCGGAACGGGTAAACGGTTTTCTAGTCTAGGGTATCGAAGCAAATAAATAAGTCGGTTAATCACCCGGCCGATTTATTTGAGACGCCATCCAGAATTCAACGCAATATTCATCCAGCAACTTGACTCGTTTTCGGAAGGTTGATAAAACAGTTGCGTTAATAAATGACGTAACACGAGAATTCCTAAATTAGATTAATATTAAGTGGATGGTTAGAATGTCGGTGGTTGTAGATTAAAACTTTGATTGTAGTTCTGGCCTGAATGACAGGGTTCGTATCACGAATAGTCATTGTCGTCATTATGAAATCCACTATCACTAATAACGATTGGCCAGGATTAGTATATTAAACGTAAGTTCCCCAGTCCAATGTACTTAGTTTTGCCTAATCTGCTGGGAATTAACCAAATCATGTGGCTCGGAAAATTTCACATAAACAATGTTTGTTATTATTAAAAAATACAGATTCCCACGGGGCAGGTTGTGAAATGCCTTCGACAAGTGCAAACTCATCAGAGATACTGAAGCGTATGCGTGATTTCACGACCCATCAATCTACACGAGTGGCTTTGTACAAAGAATTCGAAGAGTACTTAAAATTTTCTTATCGGCAGTGTGTCCAAGGGAACGACTCTATCCATTTCTAACTTGTATCAGGTCTTTCGACCAGAATCATCAGGGGAAATTGTCAGATGCTGAATTTGCATTGATATGTCAGATAACTACTGATGGCTTTAACGAAGTTTCCCACGACATACGCAATGTTGAGAGCGACATGAATGGACCTCTAAACAGACCCGACTTGGGCGGATTAATAAGAGACGTGCAAGAGTTGGAAAGGGAGAAGTTGAAACTGGTAAGGGAAAAGTTGAACGAACCCGCTGCTGTATTACGTCATTAGATTTATTCCGTTTTGCTTTGATAGACTGTGAATACACAAATATATATGAAACAACAGCTTACGAGTGAACAAGACTTTGACACTTTGATTCAAGATACACGGCATAGGTAACAAGATTTTGCTGCTGGTTTGGTGGTGTGAGAATCTGAAAGAGCATTGGGGTTAAAAACTATCTCTTCATGATAACAGCCTGACGAAAATACTCGACCAGATAAACGAGAAGATGCGTGATGTCCACGAGATTATGGCAGAATTGTGAACCTACAACTTTTATTTAAAGTATACATGTCCGAAAGACGCATCAGTTATAACTTGCCGTATAAGTTACGCAAAAATTAATAAATCTTGTATGGTAACAAACAAGCGGATATCGAGAAGTTAACAAGCCCTAATGTATGTATACTGTATATACATATTGCATGCCTAAACACATATAATAACCTGCCGCCCATCTACTTAATTTCGTGGATTACCCAAGGACTGCGAATGCCGCCACGACAATCGCATGCGCCAAATTGACAAGAATCGGTTCTTTTGTCAATGACTGTGCACTACTAGGGCTTTGCGTTGGGGATGGGCTGTTCGTGCTGCTGCTCGTGGGACTTAGCTATTTGTTTTTGAAGCATGTGAGTCAAGTATCGACAAGACATGTTTTGAAAAGAAAACACATACCGATAGGTTAATCGTAGGAGAACTCGGAGACGGAGTCGCAGCGAGTGCAGCATGCTGAAATATATAAAACGTAGAGTGAGGTTCTGACATCATAGCAAAGACATATTCTCTCTCGCCCAGATGCTTACACATGTCAGAAATATCATGAATACGAGGAAGATTGTCAATGTTTTCTTCATGATTTTTTTTTTTTGACGTTCACAATGAAACTTGTCTTTGCGAATAAACCGCGGTATTGCTCACCGCCCACTTATACTAATATTTTACAATGCAGGTGACATCGGTATGTTTTCCCACATTCTTCGCGTTCATTCCCTCGTTGATGGAAGTGACTATTATTAGTCATGAATCAATGTGCACCATACACTTTGCTGGTGATTTTTTCAAGTTAGAACTGTAAGTAATCTAATATAGTATCGTCATTGTTAATAACCCACGTAACTCACATAACTATATTTATCTGACGGCTGTCTATTTATAAGCCATCAACACCATTCTCAAAATATCAATTTGACTTTCTCTTGTTAGTTATCGCGTGAATAAAAGTTTGTGAATTTTTTCTACTTGATCGCGTGACCTGATCGTGTGATGATCAATAATCTCAAAATTCCACAAAACTTGCTCAAAAAAACTCAATTATGTATTCTCTGACGTCGCGAAACCTTTTAAGGATTTTTGTTAACAAACGGATACGCTCCCTTGTCCCCACAGAGGCGCCCTATTTAACTTGCCGTTATTTAATAACTGAAGCACAATCTCCGATATCTCTTTTGGAAACAAATATTCCAGATCCAACAACAACAACAACAACAACAACTACTACTACTACTACTACACAGGATACGGAAACTGATAAATATGGTATTTACTACAAAGTTCGCAAGTCACTTGTAAAATACATGTTGTCTTTATTCACAACGATTGACAGAATTTTCTAGATTTCAAGAAGGCGATATCGTATTGGTAAGAGAACACCATAGAACAAAGCCAAAGATTTTCTTAGTTGGTCCGTTGAAGCCGGGAACAAAAAAGCACACATCCCATGGACTATTACCACACGATCGGATTATTGGGATGCCGGTTAGAAGCAAAGTAAAGAAGGCCGACGTAAAAAGTACGATATCAACACGGTATTCTATAAAGGATTGTTGGCCGTAAAATTGTTGCAAATATAAGAATCATGTGATTAAATCAGACGTATGAAATGGGGAAAGAATCCATAATCTGAAACCATTTCTTCTTGTTTAGAAACGCTTTTCACTATTCAGTTTCCTACACTTGACGAGTGAGTACGAGTATATGACAAAGCACTTAGCGATCATGTATATTAGCACACGTGTTCTTAACATCTGATCTCTCTCACAGGTATGTAGTCTTAAAAAAGCGTATTACTACACCCGTATATCCAAAAGACGCCGCTTCAATTGTACGTATGATTAACATATACTTTTTATTCTTCCGCGCGTCACGAGCACATCATCATTAACTTTTTTCTTATTATCTTGCTCCCTTTTTCCTAACACAGGTTTCCCTACTAGATCTTCATCCACATGCTAGAGTTCTCGACGCAGGGACTGGAAACGGCTCACTAACCCTTTACCTCGCCCGTGCATTGCATCCATCCGGTCACGTCCACTCGGTTGACAAAAGTGCTCTTCATCTTTCCCATGCAAAACATAACGTTGAACGCTTTGCGCGTGGACTCTACCTTCCAACGATTTCATTCTCCCACGGCAAGCTCTCGTCCGTACTCAACTCCCTCCCTAGCGATGCACCATTATATGATGGCGCTGCTTTGGATATGCCTACTCCATGGTCGGAGCTTGAGAGTGTTTTTAAGCGATTGAAGAATGACAAATATGTTGTGTGCTATTTGCCGAACATTACTCAAGTATTAGAGTGTATGAAAGAGATAGAAAGAAAGGGGTTAGCGTTTGCTGTAGAGCAAGTGCTGGAGATTAATTGGAGACCGTGGGATATAAAGCGTACTGTTATTAGAGGAAGTATGCGGGATTCGACTGATGAAAAATTGGTGGATAAACCGTGGTTGAGGACATCCGAGCATGGTGAGAATGGATCAAGTGAAAAGAGCGTTGAGAATAATGACTCGAGCGCTAACGTTGGGGAAGAAGAAGAGGTTAAACATGAGCAGTGTCAAAATGTGGTTAAAGAAGGAAATGCCGAATACGAGGAAAACGGTGACCTTGAAGTCGCAACGCCACGCGACCCAGAAAATGCTGCTCAAGAGTCACAAGCTGCATCAGTAGTATCGGACGCTAGAGCATGGATCTGTAGACCTGGACATCCTCCCACTGAACATACTGCTTTTTTGCTTCAATTAAGGAAGAAGGAATATTCTCCTGATAATATCATAGAACTAGAGACGCCGAATAAACAGAATAGGTTTTTGATTTTGCAATGAAAGATTGTGTATAGTTTAGAGTAATTTATGATTATTCGAGAAACTGTCAGCGTCTTTGCATCGAGCTGCAACACGAACTTCAACACAAATGAAGATATAAACAGCCTAGCATTTTTGCTTGAGTACGTGTGTCTATCACTGGGAAAAAGTCGACACTTTATTTGTTTACTGAAAAAATGAGAGTATTTTTAATAGTTTGCATGTTTCTCAATACATTCTCTACACATACCTCTTATAGATTTGTCTGAGCCAACTTCTTTTAATTCATGCTTACGTGCGGGTCAATTCTGCGGAAGTTTATTCTATGACTTAATTGAGCAGAGCAAAGGAGAACGGCACTTGTGGTGCACTATGGGTGCCTTCTTTGTCCTTGTAACGAAAATTGTGTATTAACAGTAGAGTTAGGGTAACCGAGGTTTTTTGACATCTTACCCGCTTGGTTGCCCTTCGTCTGAAAGTGCAATAATAATAATCTTCACGTTCAAATTCGGCAAGTTCGTCTCTGACAACCGGTGAGTCATTTCGCGCAATTTTTAAACATTTGCACCACAAAAGTATCCTAAACTATTTATGGTAGCATTTTAATTTTAATATCCGCGCTGTTGTTATTATTATATAAAGTTTAATCTCTTAGTGACTAGAAAATTTATAGTAACTATTTTTAGACATTTATACAACATGCCAGTGGTATAGAAAGAGTTTCACGAGAAATTGTAAGACAACAGTGACAAACATAAGAACGTGTTCAAAAAATTGCAAGAGTCTCAAGGAAATGTCCATTTCTCGTGAGATGGAATTTTTTATGGTGACGAATCATTGATACACTTTAGATAGGTTAAAGGCAAGTGGGTATATCCTGCTACTGGGGCCAATTATGGTAACGCTTATGAGATATACATCGATGGTGATGCAACGAAGACAGATTTACATCAATCTACTTAGAAACCTACCAATATTTGATTGCTAACACCGTGTATTGTTAATATACGCAATTTAATACTTTAATAGAATATTGGAATAGTTTATAAGCTTTAGCGATAGCAAAGAACTAATAAAAAGTTTCTTGCCCAGAGATTTCAACCATTTCCACCCCCACCGCCATTGTTACAAGTACAATATGTCGAAGATCCTGGCAATTCGCAACCACAAGATGAGCAATAGGCAAAACTGCAGTAGCCGTTATTGCACGTTCTTGAAGCTGTCTGCGGATTCTCGCATTTGCAAGTAGAACTGCCTGCTCCCATTGCTAAGTAATGACTAAAAAACATTTGTTAAAAATTGGAAAAGAGAACCTTAAATCATATAATGCCAAGAGAGACATACCAAAGAAAACGAGGGAGAGATTGAAAGAAATGAGAAGACGAATTGCAGCAATAAATAACAGAAATGGTGGCGCAGTAACAAAGGTGGTCTTATCATTTAATAAAACCTTCTTTCCATCTCGTCAAACTGATACGTATACGAAACGACACGACACGACACGATACGATACGATACGAAGCGATATGATAATTACCATTTTCTTTTGTCTTTTCAGAAACACAAAGCATCAAAAGAATAAAAAAAGGTATTTTGTATATGGACCACTCGGGACTCGTCACACCCGAGTGGTCATGAGACTATGCGTTACCAACACAAGTTAACGAGCATTCTCTTCCACGAACAACCTAATTTGGAGCTCGCGCTTTTCCAGAGTCTTTAGCAAAGAGTTCAAACCACATTTCATATAACAGCGCGCTATTAGACGGCATTGCGTGACGTGATATACTAATTTGTGTGATAATGGAATTGGCGAGTTGGGTGCTCATGGTTGTCATTAATGTGCAAGCATTTATCATTCAGAAGAAATATTTGGTAAACACAAAGACAGTGAGACAACGTGTAGCAAACCAATCGTTATATATAAGCCACTGCCGAAAGTCAGGATAGTAAACAAAGTTATTTATGGCAATGGATGGTTATAATAAGATTCGTAACAATGCGGTCATAAAAGTAAATTCATACTATAAATGTTCATATTAATGTTCAGCCGCAAACATTAAATAATCAAAGCGACCATCATTTCTTTATAGCAAAGTAATTATTTCTCCCCCCCCCCGTTCGATACAAGATTTTTATCTAGACGGTTACAATATTAACAATGCTTTCATATGTCCATCTTTATTCTACTAGGGCATATAACCATAATTTGCTCATTTACTCTCACCACGGCATAAAGAGTAAACTGGTCCAATATTGCGTATTGTCGATTTGAGTACGGTCAATTTGTTAATATTCGCACAATCACGTTTTGGATTCTCTGAACTATTAAATATCAATTTAATCAATAGTATCAAAGATTGCTTACCTCAAAGATAAGCAAGTCCGGCGTTTCGTCAAAAAGTTCCCCATAGCTCTTCTAACTTGCGTTTATATTTTGCAGTACTGTATATGCCATTCCATAATCATCGAATCCCAAAGTCAGTATACTGCATAGTAATAGTATTTCGAGTAAACAGTTGTTACAATATTTAAACACGCGATACGCACTTGTCGATTGCATTGTCTACTCACGAAATAAAAATCAAATGATCGAAACACCCCGTTCATCTGCCCGAGAAGTTACAAAGGCTGATTTACATGAATCATATGTAAATCTAATACTAATAGTAACCCAAATCAATATTCGGAATAGCATTATTGGGAAGCTCGTGACACAATAAATGTATTGGGGAGGTTTGAACTGTGTCCTAGTGTTTTTTCTTTATTCAAAACATGTCGTACGTTCCAGAGAACATTCGTAATCTAGCAATTGACGGCTTGATTCAATTTTCCTTATCAGATAAATATTGTCAAAAACTTGAGTGGATTCCTTTCTGGCGAATTAACGACATAAAGCCAACTCAAATTGACAACGTTCATTACGGGCGAGCATATAACTGTAAGCTAACGTTGGTGTTGCTTGGAAGCGATAAAATATGTACACCGTCGTTTGTGAGTGAGTTTGCTAGAATATATGCACTTCCAACACACAAGCACAATAGTAAAAGCGACAACTTTAAAAGATATTCCACGTGGCTTGAATGTCGCAACAAACTTATAATGGGATTCACCAAGTATAAAGATAATTATTACATGGTTGCTAAGAGACAGTTTTACCACTGTTACTCTCAATATGGGTTCTGCTCTGCATGTGGAATACTCCGATGTGGTCCCGTGTGGTGCATTTGCGGACATAAACAATTATCCAATGGATGGACTAGCAACAACAACCAATTAGATGAGTTTGTTAAGAAATCTCAATTACAAACGAACTCTGCAAATGATGCCTATTTGGAATGGATTCCATCTGATTGTGTTGAAGATGGTTGGTGGTGGATATATAATAATAAAGTACGCTTAAATGGCCTACCTACGTCCAATTATGAATGTGTTAGATTGACTCCGCTTGAGATAACAGACGAAACACATGATTTATATTATGCCGAGGTAAGACATTTACTTATGCGTCATTTTATTAAATAATTGTTGGCTTATTATTATGTATCGTTCCATTAGCTATGTGATGAGCATCCAGATATTCTTATCAATAATGTTTGGCTTACCATCGGATTTACGTACAATACAACGGAAAGGAAGTATTATTTAATCAAAGTCGAGAATGGATCATGTCTGGCATGTGCAAAGGAATTAGAACCACGGATAAATGCATTCTGTTTCACATGTAAAGCACCAAGACCACTAGATTGGACGACTAGCAACAAGTCTTTGGATTCGGTTATTATGGAATCATGGAAGAATACAAAGAATGAATACGATGCATATATACAATGGATAGAGTATTCTCTATTAAGAAACATACAAGAGATGACGCTATTACGCCATGGATGCACACATATAGCAGATTGGACAACAACGGATGGATTGACACGAGTGATGCTCAAAAAGATAGCTGTTGACAAACATGATGATCAATCGTTTGATTTCCGTCAGGTAAGTATTTCACGTGTATTAGTATCGCGCGTTTAAATCGATCAGTGTTCTAACCTCGTATTCAATAAATAGCTAATTAAGAAATACCCAGAGATAATAACACCTGATAATATTTGGATAATTGGGATATCTCAAGAGCCATCTACCCGAGAATACTATTTAGTGTTCTACCCTGACATACACGCAATAGTGGGCAAATTTATACAAACCAATGAACATGTCAGATATATGCGGTATATTGACTTTAATCAAATCAAGGAAATTGGATCTGGAGGTTATGGAACAGTCTATACTGCTAAATATGGAAAGTATTTCGAAGAGCACATACCACAAACCGTTGTACTCAAACGGTTTAAGAATTTTGATGGAATGCCAGAATTATTTATTTCCGAGGTAAGCAATAATTGGTAGTATTAATTAAAGGGATATTGAATCTGACTCTGTATGTATTATATTTAATAGTTCAGAAATCATGCCAAGTGCACAAACAATGGTTATGGTTTCCTTCAAATTTATGGAGTGATACAAGACCCAGAAACAAAAGAGTACATGATTGTTATGCAATACGCTAACAATGGTAGTCTTTTGTCTTATTTGGATCAAAATATTAACAAATTGATGTGGAGGGATAAATTACGCCATTTGTATAGTATTGCATGGTATCTGGGACAGATTCACGACGTGGGATTAGTGCATTGTGATCTTCATGGCGGAAACATAGTTTTAGATAGTACTACGACGCGTAAAAGCATCAACCCATACATATTAATATGCGATCTTGGTTTCTCACGATCAGTGCATTCATGCGAGTCAAATTCAACCATTCGAGGCGTTTTACCTTTTATTGCACCAGAAGTCTTCCATACCCGCAAATTTACAAAGAAATCAGACGTGTATTCTTTTGGTATTATTATGCATTTGATGGCCACTGGTGAACCACCATTTAGAGATAGGCAGTTCGATACAAGTTTAATACGCGAGATTATGGGCGGACTACGACCATCAATGCCTGATTCCGCACCAGAGGA